AGCTGAGAACGACTCCGGCGTTTCCATCCAGTATCCACCACCGTCCTGGTATCAAACTAGTTGCATGATGGCAAATCTCCCTCTGATCCACAAGGGCGGCCACTGCCTGCGGTGGAGACTGTCTGGGGCAGACTTTGGCTATGTTGACATCGAGATTCCAGGGAACCGCAACAGCTAAACCAGTAAAACGCAGAAAAAATCAAATTGTACTGGGGACCGCACCACCAGTGAAAACGGGCCATTCAAGTACGTATACAAGTAATATGTACTCAACAAATATTGCATGGTGAAACCTTTAATAGAATATGGTTTTGAAACAACATTATTGAAAGTTACTCAAAATTTCTCTACTTGCAGATCTCAGAAACTGTCATGTAAAACATACCGGTAGAAAGACGAGTCGTCACTGGTGGAGTGGTGACCTAGTCTATAAGTCATAGCCTCAATAAGAACTGGCTTATTTTCGACTGCAAGCTTCCGAGCAGCTTTTGTAGCATTGTAGACGGCAAACACATCATTTCCATCAACACTTAAAACCACACTATCATAGCTACTTATGGAGATGACAAACAATCACCCGTAGGCAACACGCACCGGATCGTATGCAATCCATAGCCAGCTCCTTTCCCTGCAATACCGTCGCCGCCATACTGCTCCGAAGTAGGTGTACTGATAGCATAACCATTGTTTCGACAGAAAAAGATGATAGGGCACTTCTAAAAGAAGCATATATTAAACGTAGAAGAATAGTGTCATCATATGTCATCCTGTTGAACTGTCGCTATACATTTTCTGTTGCTTAACAGACGTCGGCCAGAAATACACAACTACATGAAGGGTAGAGGACAGCGTCTATCAACTGCTCACCTAATCTCAAAACTTCGAATTAAATTATCCCAGCAATTACCAAACGAAGACCAGAGAACAGGTCAATACGAGTCCCCTTCCAAAAAATAAGCAGTCCAGGTGATGCTTGGTAAGTGGTAATCGTTTATTCACTAGTACGAATAAGACGTCTCTAGTTACAACATATTGTTAACTCAGCTGCGGTAACCACTAGCCACGAAAGTATGCTGGATATCCCAAGGAATTCAGTTACCAACGGCTCTTGTTCATCGGTTGTCGTTCACAAGTATTATGTGCCCAAGCTGTCTTATCTTCGACAGTTTCGTATAGAACGACATCTTTAATATTTCATCGCTAACATTGATCGAAGCATCGAATCCCTTCTTTCACTTGTGTTACACGGGATACTCCTAGCATTCTCCTTTCGACTGCGCGTTCAATAACGCCCAGTAATCTTTCATCCTGCTTACGCAGCGACCTAGTTTCTGATGCATATGTTAAGGCATAAAGAATCTTGGAGTCGAAAAGGTAGGCACAGAATCAGGTGTTCTTTGTTTGCGTCACCAAATCCTCGATTTCCTGGAAAGCTCCCCAAGCTGCTCGCTTCATCGTGCTCAACTCTGGAGCTAAATCCTTCATCACGTTGATTTGCCAACATAGATAGACGTAAATGGACCTTTCGAAGATATTGATTCCATTGAGCGTAAATGGAGAAAACGTAAACAATCCGTTCTTTATGAACATCGTCCTTGTGAGATTCAGTCGAAGGTCAATCTTTCCACAGGATTTATCTATGTCACTAAGCATTCGTTCCACCTGATTAATAAGTGATGTTATAAGACTGATGTCATTAGCAACACAAAGATGGTGAAATCAACGGCCATCGATTTTCACACCAATGTTGTCCTATTCCAGTGTTCACACGACGGTCTCAAAGGTGGCGGTAAATAATTTTAGCGAGATGGTATAACCGTGCGTAACCCCTCTTTAGACGTCAATGTTAATATCGTTGTAGAATGGTGATATCTTGGTTGTGCAGTTTTTACATAACTCACGAAGAATCTTTATATACTTTGTAAGGACGTTCTAGGTGTCCCGGCTTTGTGATAGCTTCTATCTCAATTGAGTAAAAAAAGCTGCTGAAAAGCGTAATCATCGGTTCAATCTGGCCGGAGGTCAGCAAATGTCGTGAAAAATAGGAGGATAACAAACTCAAAAGCCTTCTTCAAATCGATGAGAGTGAGACTAAGCGGTCTCCTGTACTCTCGCGACATTTCAGTATATCTTGCCGTCGTGTGGATGTAGAAAACTTCCTGTTTAGATGGCTGTTCCTTGTCCAGTGTTCTGTAAAATCCCGTTTAGGACGACTAAAGTGAAAGTATACGACAAACAGCAAGTAAATTGGGCGATAGTTGCCGAAATCGCGGAGGTCACACTTCTTGAACATTAACACGGTCTTGCTGGTTTTTCAGTCAGTAGGGACCTTGAATTTCGGAAGGTTCCTCAGGTATTTAGATGATATCCTGTCCGGACATGGTACTGTTCGACTTTTCACTAACGAAATAGCATGTCGGATTTCGGAAGGGAAAAAAGGTAGTACAACATATCCATCCTCCTTTATTTTACATGAAAGCAGAAGGACATGGCTATTGAAGAGATCCGAGTAGTAATCGTGAATGATATTCTCCACTGACTCTCTGGAAACCGTGACTACTCCTTCTGAGCGTCAGAATGGAATCATCTTGGCTTTGTAAATGTACAAGCTTCGGGGCTTTGCGAATACATTTCTCAGCCTCTTCAGCTTCGAACATAGCTCCTGCTCTTCTCTCTTTAAGATCTTCTCTTACCACTTGCCTACATTGTTTCGCAAGTTCGAACGTGTGTTGGCGAGTGCTTGCAACTCATGCGATTCCACGCCTGCGTATCAGCACCAGTGCTTTTGGATACAAACGTCTCTTGATGACCGTCGAACTCAGTTTTCATAGCGCTACCATGAAGACATTGAATTAGTCGATCGTATTTCTCGTCGATCGATGTTATAAACAACGATATCTTCCCAATAACCCACTAGTGAACTGAATAAGTCCCAGTTTATAGTGGTTCTCGGACTTCGTCTTATGAATATAGCAACATTTTCTCCTATCTACGAGAAGTGAAATCTTACACGAAGGAAGACCTTCTTCTGGGCCCATTCATAGCATTAAAATTTCTAATAATGACCTTAAAGAAATTACGGCCTTCTCTGTAGAACTTCTCGAAGACCATGTGGAACGTCCGACTTTGTCTTCGTCATGGCTAGGTTGTCTGTGTGTTAACGATGAAGACTGGCAAAACCAGTATTGATCCACATCTCTCTTCAAATACAGACATCTGATTCGGGTTGTTAGTTAGTCGAGTGAATCGATTTTCATGCCAAAATTCGTGTTGGCAAAAACACCAACGCCCCCGACTCCTCCATTGTCGCATGTTCGGTGTTACAGACGGCATTGAATAAGTGACATATTCCCGTATCAGTCAGTCCGACAAAGTCGTACCTTACCGTTCTTGTCTGCACGACCAGGTCTTCTATCAAGAATTCAGATGCGAGTGAGCATGCATTGTAGGTACAGATCATCACCTTAGTCCTTTGCTATTTATGCAGCTTAGAATGGCCGTTAGATTTTCGCAGCCTCTCCGTACTTGTTCCGGGAACAGCCCCCTGCCTGCCCGCCATTTTGCATCGCGACTGACCGGCATGAGATTCCTCTATGAGAGAGATCCATGGAGACTCAACATAAAGTGCAAAATAGCTCCAAATGAAGGCAGCAATGAATTTGCAATATGGTACATAGTAACACAGAATAAATAATAGCACACATATCACTCATACTTATAAAACGATAAGGCAACGTCTCTTCTACAGTTCTTTCATGCTCAAAACCTCTCAAGTCCTCTACATATTGAAAAAGGATTGCCACAAACCAGTTTGCCCGGAGCCAACAAAAAAATTGCACGTATTTAATTAAGCCAGTGGAGAAAAGTGGCTTCGGCGAGTAATAGTTTACGCATCCCTGGAGGTGTTGGAATGCATACCTGGTCTATACAATGAGATGCGGTGGCCTATTAATGTAACAATTCAGTGATATCTCTTCCATTCTTTCCATTCGAGTTTGATAGCAGTTTGCCTAGTCCGTTTTAAGGAACAGAACGATCGGTGGGCCCGAAGCTTGGCATCGAACCAAAGGCCACATGTGTATCGCTGGGCACCACTAATCACCGCGCTACACGCACCCTCGTTATGTATATATATGTATATACGTACATATGCATGTGTACATATGTCTATATGCATGTGTATGCATGTACATGTACGTGCATATACATGTATATGCATAAACATGCACAGGCATATATATACATATAAGTTTATAAAATTTCTGCAGATGCACCATGTAGCAATATAGCAATGTGCTATATTATAGTGGTAAGACGATGAATCTTATATTTCCCTTGCTACATTGTGTCCTTCTTAACTTAATTGGAAAAACAAGAGTCAAATAGCTTTACAAACGCTTTATAGAGATTTACAAATGGTATAGACATACAGCCTTCATCTCCTTTGAAAAAATTCTGGACTTCTCACCAAAGTTCCTGCGAAATTGAAAGCAGCATGTGCATCACCTTCTGATGCCGCTCCATCACCAAAATAAACAACGACAATGCGGCCATTGTTAGGTATCTGTTTGAATGCATATGCAGACCCGACAGCCTGAAAATATATATTCCGGGGTACTCAATCTTGAAAACACAACGTATGCCAAATGGAAAGACGAGCCTGAGGTAACTGAGTAGTGAGTGGACTGGAAATCGTCACAAAGTTATGCTGAACTGAGCCGTAATGCAGTGGCATTTGCCGCCCTTTCCCTAAGCATGGAAAAAGGGAAAAGTCAATGAAACATTACACGACCATGTGTTACAAAGCAGTACAACAGTGTAAACCTTAACTAAGCAAAACCCTACCTTTATCTTTCCAATTGCCGTAACACTGATTCATGATGTTTTCCAGAGGGAAATTCCTCCACATCAATACGCCAACTTCACGATACTGTCCATAAACCAGATCACTGTCCAGAACTGCTGCAGCAGAGCCAATATGTGTTCCCTGTTGTGAAAAGAAAACGAACTAAATTAAAAAGAAAGCATTGATGGTTTTCATTATAAAGGCATTTCCTACAAGTAGTCTCTTTCAGAAAAGGAACACAAATATGGAAAAAAGAAGGGATTATGTTCGAACTTAGACTACCTCTTCACCGAAGTTAGTCATGTAAAATGAGATACGTCCTTGACGCTGCGAGTCGTACAAAATGCGATCCATAACGTTAAGCTGCGTCATATCATGATACATTTTCAGAGAAGTTTCCTGGAATACTAAACATCAGAAAATGTTTCAGAGTTGTGCATCTGCCATTGCCACATAACCTATGCAAAGGAAAATCCTGTATACTTTGTCAAATTTTGGATCCTGAGACTCGTCGATAATATTCCCAAGCGTATTGGTAACTCGATAGATAGGAATAGCTGGTAATTCGTTTGGATCCATGATTTCAAGCTTTTCCGTGAATACTGCCTTAAGAATAAAAAGGTGAAAAGTACTATCTTAGAAAGACAATAGACATATGTTCCCAATATTGATCGAAGTCGTTCGAAAATACGCTATGAAAACGTCTTCATAAGCATCATCAGTTCCACATGTGGGTTGTCCCCAACAAAATGACTCTTGTCGTATGATGTGTTGAGGAGAGTACGATTTTGCGTATGATTTCGTGGCATCAAAAAGATAAAACCAAGAAATTACATGACCGAATTCATTGTGGCTTAGGCTTCGGCCGATCTCTTCAGTCGAACACTAGAAGATACAATACGACACCTATCAACAGCGAACGTTTACAGTCACCGCTCGATTGACCACAATTTATGCTGCATTGGTCCGGAGTCGAACCCATGTCACCCGCGTGGCAGGCGAACACTCTACCACTGAACCACCAGCAAAAAGGTTTAAATTGAAAGTAAACAAGCAGTAATTAATTATAGTGTCAATGAAATTTTGAAGGTCAGCACGAAATACACTAAAGTGCGTTCGTCTTAGAAATACGTTCACACTACTCTTTTTATTTGAATACCTTATCAATACTGCATTTTCTTTACTAGAACGTGCCCCAATCTTCTCCTAAATGTTGTTTTTAGAATCAATAAATAATAAGCATATACGAATACAAGTATGACAAGTCATATAATTTAATAATAATAATATAATATTATTATATAATAATAATATAATATTAATATAATATTACAATATAATATTAAATAATAATTTAATTTCATTAATATATAATATAATGTTAATATTATAATATATATAATTTCATAACTAGTCATATAATTTTCTATCGACGACAGTGATTGAAATACCACCGAAAATGTTTAACTTTTTATTTACTATCTATTATTCTTTCGTGGCAGAGTATTATGTGAGATATGGCCACAATAATGCTGAGACATTTGCAAAACTATGGATAGCAGGTGTCGTCGGTGGGGATCGAACACGATACTATTCTTTCGGAAGGCTATCGCGTTCACCGCTACACTACTCGGGTTCTTCGTTTCGCCTTTCTCTCTAGTAGCTTTCTATCTAACAATGCCTGTCTAGTAGTCATATGATTTTCAACTTTCGAAAAACTCTACGGTCCAACGAGTCGTCCACTCGCTCGCTCACAGCCTTATGACGACGGTTTTTCACAACGACCGCAGCACAAGCTTTCATTTACAACTTATTACAAAAGCTACTAGCTAACAAATTTAAATACATGTGATATGCGAAAATCTATAATTTATTTAAGCCAATATAGGCTAGTGAAAGGGTTCAGAGAACATACCTTTCGATATCCTAGATATTTCTCAGTAAACTCCTTCAAAGTGAACTCATCATGTGTACTGAAGTAATGGACAGCAGTTCTAGTTACTGGCACGCGGGTTACTGACAGGAAAAAACGAGAAAGCATACTAAAACTCCATTTAGAAATCATAACCAGATATCACTAAGAAAAGAAATTAACCAGAAGGGTTAATGCCCAAAAGAAATCAAACGACTATGCAAGGAAAGAACCATAACGACCTGATAAAAAAGACTCCATCAAACGTTTATGTAGAAACATATAACAACAAGACATAACAACAACGCGTATAACTTCTAGAAAGCAAAGGAATATTCTAGAGTTACACTATTTCTATGGGAAAATCAATTACGCATTGATTTCTGGAAAATCAAGCCTCTAAAGAGCAGCTCTCATACACCTTATCTAACGTTCCAATTGCATTATATTTCCAGAACACTTCGGATAGAACGTCAGAAATGCCTACAGTTAGTTTTGAATCGAACAATTAGTTACTTAATTGCAAACATTTCAATTAAGAATACTAAAGAACCGGAAATACTTTTTCACTAGCAACATCCAACAATTCCTTGTTCAACCGGCAATATCTAAAGAAGTTTGACACGTGTGATAATGAAAAAGTGGTAAAAGTGCCCCAAAACATGGATAATTCAACAAAATCTGTAATCTTACCTTTACGCTCTTATAAATGTCATGATAAATGACTACTGGGAAAGCAAAGCTAGTGGTCACAAAAACAAGGAACCCATTTTTTGTTGGTTAATATATCTTGACTAATATGTCGAAGGTTAAAGGAATTTTCAAGTGGATCCGTCGGGAACGGATGCTTGGCCACCCACTATTACCACCTTCGATGGCGATGAATCAATGTAATGAAGGAGGTCGAAGATAACTTCTATCACTATCAGAGCTATTATCATCCATTCCAACGTAGACGCCTAAAACAAAGGTATATTACATAAACACAAAGTATTAGTGGGTACAGCTACACCCTTTATCCACAGATGAGGAGATTAAATACAAACTAAATGCGACCATATAAATACCCCAAGATACGAATCCAGAGAAAAGGATTCCTGGTTCTCCCGCTCGATTCACTTATATCTTGTAGTAATACCTACGACTGATTTTCTATTAACCTCGACGTTGATCAGGTAATTCACTGTTCTCTCGATGAGCAAACATGAGGATGTTCCTTCAGTCTTTATTTACAAACAAGATGAGGTTTTGGCGAATTTCGCATTCCTCAGAGCTTGGAAAGTTGAAGTTGACTCCAATTCACACAGCATAACACCTCCATAACAATGGAAAAAACACTAAACAAGGATTTCAATCATATTGAACACAAAATATCGGATCGAGAAACATAAGCGCGCAAAATTCTTGAGGCACTCTAGATTAATTCCAACGATCCGAAAATGAACTGCAAGGAAGAATGCCTTGTATTCACGCGCGATTTCACACAGTATTTAAACCTGTTATTCAGATGGAAGGTGCACATTACGCTTCACAGTGAACTCTGTGCGGTTGGTCTTCACGTGACACACTCAGTGGAAGACTCACACAACGCGGAGAGTGTACGAAGAAACTAGTTTGTATCCAATGTGATTGAAATCTTGGTTTAGCACTTTCTCAGTTTGGTTGTGGAGGTGTTTGGCTGAAGATAGCTGCCAACTTGAACATCCCAGGCTCTAAAAGAGGCCAAATCCGCCGAAACATCAACTTGTTTATTAATAAAGAATAAAATAACAACCTCATTTTTGCTCATTCAGAAAACAGTGAATTATACTGTACACCAGCACCACACACACCAGCACCTTGAAGATGCTTCCCCTTATCGTCCGTCTTCTGAGAAGGAATTTAAAAGTCAAACATGTTTCGAACAGCTGCCAGCGTGTGCACAGGAAGATAGCAGAGAGAGGAGTCCCGGAACTTGGCGCGGCAAAATAACCATTTTTAATGGCTACGAAACTGTACCTCGAGATAGGTGTAGAGGAAACCACAGGTACCCCAACGACAACTCTAGCGACAGTAAGGTCCCGTTTATACTGCCCTTCATTTCAAATGAAGTAAGTGCAGCTAGAAAACGCTGTTTAAGAAGGGCCAGTCTAGAGAATTCGGTAACGATAATCGAAATACCACCGAGTAATCTAAGACGTCAGCCAGTTCGTAACCGCCTATACGACCGTCTATGTGCAACGCAAAATTGCATAATTTGCCCCAATGGTAGAGACGGTGACTGCATGAATTCGGGTACAGTCTAACTGATCTCTTGTAAAGCGTGCGGGGACGAATACATTGGCGAAACGTGGTAGACCACTCTGCGTACGTATAAAAGAACACCTAATCGGCAAATGTAAACCAGATACCCCACTAGGCACGCATAGGACGCAGATACATAACGGTGAAGATTTTGAAGTAAGGGTCACGATCCTCGTGCAAGAATCGAGAACACAAGAGCTCAAAACTCTAGAGGCATTCTGAATTAATTCTAAGAATCCGAAAATGAGCATCAAGGAGGAGTGCCTCATTATCACGCGTGATATTGGGCATTATATAAGCCTGTTATTTTGATGAGATGGGCACAATACGATTCCGTGTGAACTCTGAGCGGTTTGTCTCCACGTAACATATTTAGCGGAAGACTCATAGGAAGCGGTGAGTGTGCAAAGACTGTGTTCAATATGGTTGAAATTTTGGTTCAGAACTTTCTCTGTTTGGTTATGGAGGTGTTGGGCCCTGTAGATTGCAGTCAACTTGACCTTTCCAGGCTCTGAAGAAGGCGAAATCCGCCAAACGTCAGCTTGTACGTAAATAAAGAAATTAAGTAACAACTCGTGTTTGCTGAACAGAAGAAGAAAGAATTATTCAATCAATGCCGAGGTTGATAGAAAGTCGGACTTGGGAATTATAATGTGTTTATAGCCAAGGATAATGGAGCAGACGTGCATCGGTGTGCTTTCGCATACGAAGATCGTATCTTCTAAGTCAATTCAACCAAAAGCATTATTCTGAATTGCACATGGGTAATGGTTAAAAGTACATTCTAACAGATGTACTCCAAGCAAGTTCAACAACATGAGGTATTCGGAAGAGTCCAAAGCAAACTACCTGTGAGTGAGCCTACTCTTAGAAAAAGGAGTGACTCAGATTGATGACTGAATGGCTTACAACAACAGATACAAAACTCACATGACGTAAGGCTATCATATTGTCCACCATTTTTACAAGTTCCTCACAATAGTCCAAACGTCTATTAAGTCCACTGGAAAGCTACAATGTAATAAACTTCTTCAGGGATATCAAGAAGTAAAGCTAGCGGAATAAACCTTTATTACTCAAAAATACAAAATTTGAAGGCCACAAACCTGATTGTATCCAGAAGCTTCACGTTTTGCATGCTCAAAAAAAAAACAAAGTGATGAAATTTTAAGTTTGAAATAAAAAAGAAAAAATATTAAAAAATTTTAGATTTACAGCTAACTTCTAATGGAATTTCACGCCATAAACAGTAGATACCACCACGATCACCTGATTTTTTATTAAACGCAATGCAGTTAAAATGACCTTAAGGATCAGCAAACCTTAAACGACGACCAAGAGTGAAATGTCGAGCAGACATCAAGTAGTACTCTTCTAAGTGTGATCGATCCCAGTAAAAGTCACGATTAAGTAAAGTACAGTCCAGATTTATAGAGTGCCTAAAAATTAGCAAGCACACAAAAGGTACACAGCTTTCTTAAAGATTTCCAAAGTTAAAAAGATGAAAAAAAAAACTAGATCAACCTTAAATCGGCAAATTCTCCTGCTTTAATCAAAGCGGCTTTACGACTCCAAGGAATAACACCTTGCTTAAGGGCCTAAATGGATGTGTGTTTGATATGAACTCATAAACCTTGTTAGTTATGACACAAAGGGGACGCGCCTTTGTTGTGCATGAAAGCGGCTCAGCGAGATCGTTGAGTAATGTTTCCCAGACTCCGACTTTCACTATAATATAACGATAAGCTTTGGTAGAGAAATTTAGACTTAAAATAACGATCAACCTGAAGCGGCAAAGGCCTGACTCAGCGAAAAGCGTTCTAGGATTCCTTCAAATGTCCGATGCTCAGCGCCATGTTTGTCTGCACTCAGAATGAAGCGATCATATTTGATGCCAATGCCATCACTTGAAAAAGGAAAAAACCAAGTGAATCTAATTGGCCACATTACGCAGGATGTTTATTATTGTTGAAAGTTAAAATCCAATAAAAAAAACACACTTCTCAGACACCGAGTATGGCATCGTGTCTTGCTCTTCCATAGTTATTGTAGAATCGTAAGGCCCTCCCATGTAAGGTTCCAAATCGCGAATAATTTGTGCACGCTGAAGAAAATCTAATATGATATACCTACTTGGACACCTGGATGGCCCACCTTCACTGGTGGTGCGGGCCCCAGCATAATTTCTATAATTTCGGGGTTTTGCCGGTTTAGCCATCGTGGTTTCCTGGAGTCCTGAGATAAGCCAGGCTGAACTCTGCCACAGGTCGTCCCCACCACAGGCAGTCGCCGTCCTTGTGGATCAGAGGCAGATTTTCCACCATGAGACTAGTTTGATGCCAGGACGGTGGATCCTGGTATTTGGCTCACTCTTAGCTGGGCTTCGTGGTGCAAACGCTGGACTTCTTCCCAGCTTATGAGACTCTGTTGGTCAGATTAATTCTTTCGCTGTACATCGCAGCCCGAAACCCAAAAACACCTCCCAGCCACGATGAGGCGGTAAACCGTTGGGATGATACTCCTTAAATAGAAGAAAAAACACCTGTACATGGTCCACATTCCAAAATACAGCAACTCCATCTTGAAATATGAAGATCTCATTTATATGAGCAGGGTTTATTGAGTATTCCAGCTTTTTAACCAGATGAATAGTGTCGTCAAATTCTGAAAAGTTGCTACACAGGAGTATCGAGAAATTGATTGGTTTCTTTAGCTCCTTAATTCAGTCCAAAGTCAAAATGGTTTGTACTGACAATTGATTAATAACAACAAACATACCTTCATCAATATACGAAACATCAAACATATTGCGTATTGATGTATCAGAAGAGATACCATGAAGATCAAGGGATTCAGATAAGGCCAGGGCGACCACCTCAGGTAACCGGACCTGCTACAAGCAACCACCGATTTTGGTCTATCCTATGAATGAAAAGTACAACTCTAAGTAAAAGTAGTTAAAAATCAAGCTCAGCAATAAAATTGGCTAGAAAAACACCAACAAATTTACGTTTTCCACATCTGAAGCCGTAATCGAACGTCGTTTTCGAGTTTGCCTACGAGAAGCGCACGACCTTCGTTCAAGTTCTGCTTCATGAAGCGGCTTCTCAGAGCTCTCCTGTTGAGTTGAACGATGTAGTTGTCGAAAAACAGTAGCATTCCTAAGTTTTTGCTAAGTAAACTTAAGTGAATCGAGTAAAGACGTTAACACTGTAGCGTGAGGAAAACTTGTAAGGGTTCCCGAAAATAGAAAATTTTAATAGGAAGCCTTTACTCATTAATGTAAACTTACCTACTTGGATAATTCGCTGGCCCGTTTTCACCGGTTGTGCGGGCCCCAGCACAATTTCCATTCTTTGGAAATTTGCTGGTTTAGTCATTGTGGTTCCCTGGAATCCCAAGGTCAGCTTAGCCAAAGTCTGCTCCAGTTCGTGACCACCGCAGGTAGTCGCCGTCCTTTTGGATCAGAGGAAGATTTTCCGCCATGCGACTAATTTGAAACCAGGAGGGTGGTCGATCCTGCTATTGGTTTACTATTAGCTAGGCTTCCTCATTGAAACGCCGAACTCTTTCTCAGCTTGGCAGATCCCGCCGTGGGGATGAAACCTACCGCTGTACATCGCAGCCCAACACCCAGGAACACCTCACAACCACGATATGGCGGTAAGCCGTCGAGAGGATTAATGTGAAGTAATAAAAGCATAATAACGTAGGAGTGTTAATGTACCTCACTGGGACGGCGTTAGCCGTAAACATCTGTGAACATGCATGACGACAACTACGTTGTATCAGCATGGAACAAAAACGCCGCATCATCCTTAAAAAGAACGCAAGTTTTTTTGCCGTAAAGAAACCAGTTTTTCTCAATTCTCTAAGTTTATATGTGTTTAAATCCTTCAGCTTACACCAGGTCATCATGCAACTTTTATTCGACTAACGTTTCGTCTTAATCAGAGCCGGCGATGATCCGAGTCGGCGACCCGTATTGGTTCGTCTTTTCGATGTGACGTCTTCGTTGTCGAACCGAGGGATCTTCTTCAGTGAAATATCGCTGAAATTATGCAACCTCATCCGGTGATACTCCTTTATAGAGGACGGTTATTGTTGACATGAATGTCCAGTGATAATAACGTGTTCTTCCCGGCCAATCCATCCTGCAGAAGTCGGAATCGTTATTGCCTGATGAGGTCGCTCCATTCCAGCTATGTTCCACTCGACACGACGACGGAGACACCACATCCAGAAGACGTAAGGCTATGGACCATCGACTCGGATCACCAGCTTCGATGAAAACGACGACGTCGAAGCGTTGCCCGAATAAACATCGTTATCAAACTTGTGCAAGCTTATCGAAGAAAGATCACATATTGATTAGTCATACCGAGGATAAAGGAAAGTCGGTTTATGAAATATCTCAAAATTTAGTTAACCATAGTAGACTGCCCATTATTTCTACTACTGTAATACGAATTAACCTGTTATAATACTAAGCCCATTAGCCTTAATAAAAACGATACCAGCGACCAAAATGGCTCCCATCGAGGTCCATGCGGTTAAGACTTTTGAGCACGCTGATTATCAACATTAGGAGGCATTTCTACGTGGATAGACGTGATAATTTTCAGGATAAATCTTGACAATTCGAGAAATCCGAATCGTAAACGTTTCCAAAATTTTCCTAAAGATTTCCTAAGAGTGTGGTTCAAACAGAATCATAACATATCATCCCTAAACATGAAAGAAATGGTCAACTCCACTAAATTGATTTGCTGGAATCCCTAAAATCGACTGGTAGAAGCCAAAAATATCAACGAGGAATTCAAGGATACCATCAGATCATAGTATTCCAACGTATAGCTTCAGTACTCGAAATCAAGTGTTGATGATAGGAAAACGAAGAGAATGTTATCCAGAGGACAGGTTAAGCGCTAATCTAAAAAAGCCGAAGGGGTCGAGAACGTAGCTAAATAGGGTTCTTTTCCATTAACGTTGTGTAAGCTTATTAAGGAGAAAAGCGCGTGTTATTCATAGACTTTAGAAAATCAGAAGTTCCTTGAGATGGAAGATGCAAAGCGAGGAGATCAGCAGACATCTTGCTGGTGAAGATTTGCAGGTCATCATGGTCTTCCTCTCAATAATTGATAAGCTTAATTACGAGCTAATGATTCCACCGATACATGACAGTATGACCTCAAGGTGAAAGCATAGACTGATTTCGGGTATGCACGTATTGCATCCAATACAAGTGTGGCAAGTGTGTTAATCCATACGTGACTGCATGAATTGATAAGGATGCGTAACTTATTGGCTCGATTCCATCTTATGCCAAAGTGTCGTAGCTCTGAGACACACAGACACTCTTAGGAGTTCAATCAAGCGTTTTTCTTCGGAATTGGTGAGAGATTGTGAAAATGAATATTGGAATTATGCAGTATTTCCATAGAAACATTATCTTAAGTTAAACTGGTAAAGTTGCACTTCGTGAAGATCGAGCCTTTCTTTTTTTTGCAACTATTCATTCTGATGACACTAAGAAAAGATCTACACTGTAACTACTTCTACTAGAAGCCTTCTTAATGACCTACGACCTTACCGTGGCTATAAAATTTCCCTAGGACTTATAGAATCCGCAATGAACGCAAGCAAACGAATAAACTCGTCCGAAAGCTGCTCTTCGTGACCGATTATTCATTAAGAATAGGTTTTCCTTAACTCATTGATAAGTTCATGATGGCCGAACCATCGATCGAGTGCTCAACAAACAGCTTAAATGAAAACGCATTGAAACCAACGCGTATTAATTCACAGGAAACCGTCAACGACACGTGTTCGAAGGTCTATTTGAATTCCACGGTAAAAGTACTCCAGGGAGATCGTTGCTGCTAAGAAGGGAATAACACTAGCAAGTGTCAGATGAGAAAGACGGGAGTCCAATGAAGAGTGTGAGCTCGCTAGAACCACTTTGTTCCCGAGGTTTCAAGATGGTGGTCGAGATAGAAGCGCTGAAGATAACTAGAAACTAGTCGACGACCCACCTCCACTGACAACGACCAATTGAGGATGTGAGTTTCTTTGATGACTGCACCCTCCTCATGGTGATGTGCACATTCAAGATCTTGCCTCAGATTTCTTTTCATTTCGACAACTGTTCGTAGAAGAAATTGCGATACACCATGTATGACGATTCAAGCTGAATTTGACAGTCTTAGATTCTTTAAGAAGCTGCGACTGGATTTCTCTCGATGAGCCAACAGTTCTGTAAACACAAAAGAAGCACAAACTTGAGATCTTCTCGTCATCCCCAGTCTCTTTCTTATCAACTAAACAACTGAACTCACAGCAGCTTATTAAGGACTCTTAAAAGATTAAGGATTTTGTAGAGAACCATGTATCGAAAACAATAGGTGGGCACACTTACCCTGACTTACACAAATGCATATATACCCTCATGCAGTTTCCATAGGAAGAAAGTAGTTATTTGTATCTAACGGTGATCCACCTCATGAATATGGAAGCTTTATCAAAATTGAATTAGAAAAAATATTGATCGAACGACTAGAACTCAGTTAAGCCACAACCCAAAACAGATTGTGCTTTCAAACAGTTTATTACTGAAGAAATCCCGTGCATGAAATGTCGGGAATGCTATTTTGCAGAAAAAAATTCAATCAATCGACACAGTAACACTATACTAGGCTTAACAGAAATAACACTACTGGCATTTCTCAACACGTCAGATGAATTCATTAACCATCAAATATCAAGTCCTCCTGTCCTAGGGGATCGAAATATCGTTCCACAACGGCATCTGTTACGTCCTCTAGTCTTTCCGGAATCCACTTCGGATTGCGATCCTTGTCTATTAGAACTGAAATCTTTGCTTATTACTCTGGGCCTCACAGTGCTGAAGCATGCGTACTTTCTCGTGAAGAAGTTCAATTTGTTCTGAAGCATCTGAAATAGTAAGCACTATCATTCCAAGCGGTAACGTCTAGTCAGTAAACCAATACCAGGATCCGTCACCTTCCCGGTAATCAACTAGTCGCATGGTGGTAAATCTCCCTCTGATCCATAAGGGCGACGAATGCCGATGATGGTGACGACCTGAGGCAGACTTTGGCCTAGCTGACCTCGAAACTCCAGTGAACCACGATGGCTAAACCAGCAAGACTCCGAAGTGAGAATTATGCACAACCAGTGAATACGGAACGTCCAAGTATCCAAGTAAGTAACTTCTAATCAAGGAAAGATAAACCTATGTGAACGGATTCATTCTAGATTAAAGTCTAAGTTTCAGCCTTAAGTCCAGTTCTGATCCAGTCTTTAAATTCTTGAAATTTGCATTCACATGCAACTTTTTCCGGGCCTGCGTTACAATGTGAAGTGAACGAATTCGTTCTATCTCCTCTCAGACTAGGAATTTCCTACTTACGTAATTGGCAAATGCTTAATTTCAAGACTAAATGTCGCAATCGCCGAAGAATAGATACAAATTTTAAAAAGCCATGGGAGAACAGTAGAATGATCCATTAGAACGATTAATAGATTCTAATAGAATGAATTCGGTCGATGTAATAAGCAATTGCGTCAACATAAATATGCATTTCTGGAAATGGATACCTGAAGAACTTAGAAGTACGCATACGAACGGTCGCCGAAGTGCAGAAGTAATTCATGATCTACCTTAATGTATAACCTAATATTAGACATACGGAGAGACCACTCAAATGTTCGCTTCCCACTCACGACTGAACGTTTCATTCTCGTGGACATAAAAGAAGAAAACTTTCGGCGTTGATCAATCTCTGAGAGATGCGCCATGCATCCGACTTCATTAAGCATTGTTTCGAGGTGACTGGATGCATATCTGGCCTTTCCAATAACACGATGTATCGAGTCAGTGCTTTTACCCTCCTAGACAATTCTGATACCAATTTGCCGACACCGGAAGGGAGAAGGGCTTGGTGGCCAACTGGCGCGGAAATGGGTACCGTGTGTATTCAAGACGTCCCAGACAACTGCGCCACACGCGCCCATCTCGTAGATATACCTACATGCAATCGAAAATGAAAACCATCACGAATGCTAACATTGAAGACTGTAGGAATGGTCCTCCCAACGGTTTACCGCCTCATCGTAGCTGGGAGGTGGGTGTTCCTGGGTGTCGGACTGCGATGTACAGCGGCGGATTCATTCCCTGGCAAGGTCTCCCAAGCTGAGGAGTCCGGCGTTTCCATTAGGAAGCCTAGCTAAGAGTAAACCAATACCAAGATCCACCACCGTCTTGGTGTCAAAGTCGCATGGTGGCAAATCTCCCTCTGATCCACAAGGGCTGCGACTGCCTGTGGTGGTGAAGACCTGGGGCAGACTTTGGCCAAGCTGACCTCGAGACTCTAAGAACCACAATGACTTAACCAGCAAATCTCCGAGAAATGGAGATTATTCTGTGGCACTCACAAGCCGTGAGGTTTGGTCATTCAAGTGTCAAGCGTCAAGTGTGTCAATGAAATAATACGGAGCAAGTCAAACACTCGATAAGGCTATCGTCTTCTTCATTCCATGATCAAACTCCTAACAAAAGAGAAAAGCAGTAGAACAAACAGATCCATAATTATATGCTGCCACATCGATTTTATTAGATTCTAGCTCTCTTTCAGAATATAAAACACTCAGAAAAAACTAATCTAATGGACCAAAGTATACCAGAAACAAGGCACACACATGACATGGAAAATTGTCGCTCTCTTCATTTGCTCTCCGTTGTCTAGCAATTGTTCACCTGACTCAATCCATTTACGAGCTAAATTACGGTGGTTGGTAAGTACGAAGACAGCAGCAGAATGAATTTTCAGAACAACCAACACCACTGGTCACTTTCGCCTCATCGCGAAACTCCGTGGAAAACTGGTACAATACCAGATACTTTGAATAACGATAGAAAACAAGATGACACTAAAAGGGCCTCAGACACTAACACCAATTGATCAACAAATCAAAATAATTTGCAAAATGAAGAACTGTGATACCACAATCCTACCATCTTAGAATAGTAGTTGTCCCCATCAAAATTCGTCAGCCCCTCACGTTAAGGTACAATCTAAAATGCAAGCCAGTGTTATAATGAGCTTATATATAAGTGCTAAACGTTGTGAAAAAGACAACATACGTTTAAGCATTAGGTGCTTAACAGCATTTAATACTAATTTTCAATGTCCAATCCTCACTAAATCCTCGAGACGACGCCTAATTTCGGTTTTATTGCGGACTGGACAACGTCTAATTTATCGCTGTGCATACTGTGACACCCACCGACGTCTTACCGGCCACTCCGACGGATTTTCATTTGGCCCCGCCCACTCATTTTGCGGTTCCCGTTCCATAAATCGGTTTTTTTATGCGTTCTGTTCTTGGTGCACATACAACTTCTGTGTGTATGCTATGAAAAAGAACGCGCCCTTTATGCAGTCATACTGCTGTCAGGATGAAGTTTTGTGGGTTCTACAAGGAATATTACGATATTTAGGGTGAAGAGTTCACTGTAAATGAGCCATGTGTACTCGATTCCCTTGAGCATTGGAGAGATATACGAATGCGTATTTGGTCTACAGAAAGACTTTAAGGAGCCTGTCGATATATAAATTCAGTCACAATGTTTGCTAAACTTTGGACCGCAGGTGTATAAGGTGGAGAACGAACGCGCTATTGTCCTTTCCGGGAAGTAACGCGTTCACCACCACACCATGCGGGTCCTTCGTTCCGCCTGTCTCTCAGCTAGTTCTATCGATCTTTTTGCCATCAGTACCCGTCAGCGGGATTGATCTGGGGAGCCCAAATCGGCAATGAACCCAGTTAAGGCGAGGCTTTTAGTCATAATTACAATTTTAACCGTTCGCCAACCTACTGAACCTAAAAACACCTGACCACATTAAAAAGAGTAGGCAGTAAATGAAACGGTTATGACAACGAACTGCTTCTCAAAAATGATGCTGCACACTGCATTCAATGCCAGTTCTTCGAGGCAGGGGAATTTCTGCGCCCCTTCACTGGTTACACTCTCCAGACTGCGCATTCAACAGCAATGGTCTCTTGGCGTAAAAGAAGATATCAGTGACAAATTATTAAGAAGACATCCTCTCATGGACGGCGTTCGTCATAGCATCAGCGTTGGATAAGCTGTTGAATGATTATAAGAAATATAGGGGAAAAATTTCTGCGCACCAAAAGAAACCACGGAAAAATATGACACATATAGGTGCCATTCTGGTCGCTCTGGCAAATTCACTATGACACCTATAGGTGTCGATCGTCGCCAGAATTCTGAACCACATTGTGTAGTTAAAATCGCTACAAAGAGGCGCTCAAGAGGAAGGAAATTAATGCGCCAACCTACTAAACCTAAAACACCTAACCACATGAGGAGAATCGCAGACACTACATAACCGATCACAGCTCCATATGGGCGATTTGTGCCATAGGTAACCCACAACACAAGCGATACAGCTAGTTGGATTTCACCCATTGTCAACACTTGGACTGAAGAATACTTTGTCGTCGTGCACAAGCCACTTGGTACCAGTACTACTTATATTTGTATCTTGCTCTTCATTCAAGCGAAAACGTTGGTCAAGTTGACCGTGTGCACATTCGGCTCAAAGTGACCTTTTTTTTTATTTGCCGACCGAATACAGAATGGACGCTTTCATTACTTCACCATATCACTAGCCATAAAGGATAGAGGATAAAGCTGTCGGCGTTGATCGTTCCTTGCGGGATGCGCCATGCATTCAACTTCATTAAGCATCGTTGGAGGTGACTAGATGCATATCTGGCCTTTACAATGACTAGCAGTGACCTACCGATATATCGAGCCAGTGCTGCTTATCTTTCCAGACAAGTCTAATAGCAATTTGCCGGGCCCGGAGGGATGGAAGGCTTGGTTAGCCTTGGGAGCGGGATTGATCTCATGTGTATTGCAAGTCGTCTCCGACCACTGTGCAACATGCGCCATTTATCACTAGTCATACTACGTAGTAAAAAATATTTGGAAAAGATGGATTTGAACCCAGTGTGCATAGGTATACACTTCCAGATTCCAGCAAAAAAACGAATTAAATATACAACCAAACGTTCCGTGAGGTTTATGCATGCACAGAGCTTTTGTAAAAGAACTGAACAACGAATACGAAGTACGTTAATCTAAATAGTACTTACTTGCTCGACAACCTTCATAGAAGTCATGATCCTTCAAAAAACGTTGAGCCAGACGATATTCCATCGTGAAAACCTTAAACAAATCATAATCTATTCGAATGGTGTGCTGGCACACTTGCGATGACGCATAGTTCTTGTTCACGGCCGCAATGAAGCGACGCCTACCTTTGCGCTGCGAAAAGAATGAGTCATATGTGACTCGTGTCGACCCAGATACCATAACGCATATTGATTCAGCGTCATTTGCTGGGTTTTCATATTTCATTCTTCCTTCTGTGCACTTTTCAGCAATTTGGTCTGTTTTGACCTACATCTTTGTGCTGATTTTTACGTAGTTTTGCACGTCTTTGAAACATCTTCACCTCTTGTAGGGGACAAAGAACTCGTCTATTATCCTCCGCGTACTGTCAGCTTTGTTTATCCGGTCTCATAAAATACTATGATTATATATCGGTATTTCTTAACCTATTCGCCACTCCTTGACCTTTACAAGAGTCTTAACCTTACAGAAATCCTATGATAGGAAAGTAGTAGCCGCTTCCAGCTTAAAACCAACGAATCTCAGCTGATGGCGAATTTCATTAATTGCAATAAACTGTCGGAATCTACAATTATTTTCCCACAGGACAAACGCTTCCCCTGTTTTTCCTGGATAACATCCCGACTTTCTGCAGCTCATTACATTTGTTTCTTTCGCTTTATTGATCCGAAGGTCATATTTCGAACATGAAAGCAAATAAACAAGCGGATTTCGCCGAGGAAAATACGACGGCGTTCGTCAATATGTCACTTATGTTTGCCCCTGCCGCTGTTCCATTGTAAATTAAAAAAAACTTCGTTATCAACTTTTCTGGAACTTTCAGCCCTTGACATATTTCGATTTGAAAGGACCTTAAAGGATCTTTGAAAGGATTATAAAAACTGTATTCAACAAAATCAAAGTCGATACAAAGCAAACAAAGTCTATTTTATATATCAATTTTGTCTTGAACTCCTGAAGTACTCTACATTTGCTTATCAAGAAAGCAGTAAATCAAGAAATCATCGTCTGTTGTCGAAAAAATAGCTTTTCGCGAATGCGTTAGTGTCCTCATATCCCTTCATTTTATGAGGTAACCGTGCTTTATCACAGCCGCTTCAAAGGAAACAACAATCAGTAATTTCACAAATTGTATGAGAATGTGACAGAAACCATTTGGAACACACACAGGTACATTCTTCTGGAATTCACCAAAACGGATTTTCAGAGTTCCTAACCGGTGACTAGTTGAGGAATGTTCTAGAAGATCGACCCAGACGGCCCACTTTCTTGGAGTGCCTACCACAATTCCGTTTTCTATCCACATTTTTCATTTATTTGCTTTTTTTGCAATTTCATTGATCTCAGCGTGAATCCCTCTGATGTACCATGATCATCCACCAGCATTTAGGGAGTGTTTGCATTGATTCATGTCATATAAACGTCTAAGCTATTTATTTGGAGATTTCTGTAGGCAAAAAATTTTATAGGTTCCCATCATGTCGGGTGAGGACGAATTCAAGTTCATCTTCGATCGACTTCTCATGGAGAGTGATCAAGAACAAATTGAGGACAACGAGGACAATGAGGAATCTCTTATGTTCCCATTCGAACAGTCAGATGAAAGTGAAGCGGAAGGTGAGGATAACGGCGAGGTTGAAGTTAGCAATGACTGGTATGACTACATAACGCCTCATCAACCCTGGGTATTCGATGAAAGTAACTCTGGAGTGGATCAATTGCTTCTGCTTGGGTGTACAGAACCGATACATTTTTATGAGTTATTTATGACTGATATTTGGGACCTTATTGTGAACGAAACGAATAATTACGGACGGGAGAAGAACCAGTTGTGGGAAACAACAACTGTTGAAGAAATGAAAAGGTTCATTGGTCTTTGTCTTAAAATGGAAATTGTTAGACTACCACGACTGAGAGATTACTGGAGTTCTAGTCCTGCATTTGCATGCCATCCTATTGGATCTCAAGTTATATCAAGAGACAGGTTTGAGAAGCTATTGTCACACCTCCATTTCGCAAATAATGCAAACCATAACGTGCATGACAACCTGTACAAGATCAGTTCAGTCATAGAACTTGTAAATAGAAACTGCAAAGGAGTTTACAGACCTGGCGGAAACGTTTGTATTGAAGAGTCTCTTGTTCCGTTTAAAGGGAGAATCGAATTCGGCCAATATATCCAAAATAAGAGACATAGATATGGCGTGAAAATGTTCAAATTGCGAACGAGAAGTGGCTACACATATAGTGTTGCAGCGTATGCCGGTACGGATACCTCTAGGACAGGAGCTATGGCTGAAGCGGCAGTAATGAGGCTGATGGATGGTTTACTGGATGAAGGAAGGCATGTGTTTACCGATAATTCGTATACGAGTGTCTCGTTGGCGAAGAGGCTACTAGAGAGAAAGACTCATCTGATCGGTATGTGCACGAAGAACAGTAGAGGACTTCCCAAGCAGGTCATACAACAGAGGTTGAAAAGAGGGCAAGTGAAGGCTCAACAAAACACAAGCGGTGTGATGGTGCTTAAGTGGAAAGATAAAAAAGACATTATTATGATATCAACAGTGCACGATGCTAGCCTATGTGCTAATACGTTAAGGCCTCAAGTAATAGAAAGTTATAGTCAGGGAAAAATATTCGTCGACCCAAGAGAGCAGATGTCGTCCTATTCTCCGTATGTTAGGAGAACCAGTAAATGGTACGCACATTTTTAGCTCTTCATTATCTAGACATACATTCTTTACGCTTAGTTTAGGTATATAAGGCTGTTCTTTCACCTCGTCACTCAGACGTGTTTGGTGAACGCATGGCGGATATATTGTGAAAATGTTCGCAAAATTACCATCCATGAGTTTAAGGCTCAAGTTTATATGAGCCTATTTGAAATGGATAAAATACAATTATCTACGCCTTCAAGTGGCCATATCTTGGAAGATACTGGTGCAGAGTCGAAGAAACGGAGACGCTGTGTAGGTTGTTATAGGAAGCTATCAAAATGTCACGACTCTAAATCTGCTGCCATACGAACAAAGCAGGTTAGAACCAGATGTAGCAAATGTCTGAGGCATTTCTGCTTGGACTGTTTCAATAATGTTCACAAAAAATGTGAATTCTGACGGGATTACGGTTTGTTGTGAATGTAAAATTCTATATGGAGAGTGTGAATTGCTAATTGTAGATTACAAGATAAATCGTTTGAGTTATTGACTTTGTTGACTTTTTCAAAATTGGAGGTTTTTTGCGTTATCAAATACTGTACGTATCGATGACGCACCCTTTGCAAACGCTGACGTAGCTTACAACTATTTTATAGTAATCTGAACATTTTTATTTATTGCCTACTATAATTTTTAACGGCAGGGTATCATGTGAAATACAACCAAGAGGATGCTGAGATATTTGCAAAACTCCGGACCGCAGGTGTCTGCGGTGGAGAATGTAAAAATGTGAAGATTGTGATTTCAACTTCAGCCTCAGCTTAACTAGGTTCGTTGTCGATTTGGGCTCCCTAGATTAGTCCCGCTGACGGCTGATTGCTGATGGCGCCGGTAGATAGAAAAAGCTGAGCAACAGGCGAAACAAAAGACCCCCATGGTGTGGTGGTGAGCACGTTATTCCCCGGAAAGGACAATAGTGCGTTCGTTCCCCATCGCAGACACCTGCGGTCCAGAGTTTTGCAAAGATCTCAGCATCATCTTGGTTGTATTTTATAGTAAATAAAGGATGAAGGATAAAGTTTTCAATATTGATCAATTCCTGAGGGATGCGCCATGCATTCGACTTCATTAAGCACCGTTGGAGGCGATTGAATGCATAACCGACATTTACAACGACTCGCAGTGACCTACCGATGTATCGAGCCACTGCTGCCATCCTCCCAAAGAAGTCTGGTACCAATTTGCCGAACCCGGAAGCATAGAAGGCTTGGCGAGCCTTGGCCGCCGGGAATGATCTCATGTGTATTGTACAGAGTCTCCGACCAATGCGCTTCAAGCGCCCTTTTATTTTGTAGTAAGAAGTGCATATTTGCACCATAGTAGCATCCACACAGGGTTCCTCACTGTTTTGCCATCATACTGCAGTAAAGGATCTCCAAGTTCCTCATTTTACTCTATAAGTCCAGTAGCGGTATCCTAGTATACAACCCATTCACTAACCAAAATCTCATCGCGGAACTAATAGGACGATGAAAATCCTCCCAAAAAGCACTTTTATTTTGCAAATTATAGTATCTGGAAGACAAATTTTCTTAGTTTTGCCTGATAGAGCGCCTGTGTTGCAAAGCTATCGATTTAGAACCAAAAGCATCAAAAACAAAGCAAAAGAAAATGAGTGATATGTGACTTTCATCAACTAAAGCACGCCTTAATACAGTGACTCGTCATGTACGGGTTATACGTCAGTTTCAGTCATGTACGTCAGTTTTGATGATTATCACAGTATCATCTATACTGTGATAATCATCAAAACTATTTTTAAAAATTTCAACATGCTTCGGCTGTGTATTCCATACTTGAGCAATTCTATGTGAAGACTAACCTCGCCGAATTTCATCTTCGCTCCATTTTCAAGCTGTTTAAAAGTGACTTTCAGTGAAGTCGGGCTCATTTTTGAGAGCGTCTTTAACTGCTGTTTTGACCATTCAGAATTTTCAACGCGAAGATTTTCAAATATTTCCTCGACAGATCTGAAGTAAATGGACGTTTTGATAATCCGACGAAAGCTTCATCATACCTAACTTACCTTGCATAGAAGGTCTTCTTGATTACAGGAAGATGCTCCTCTAAGCTGAAGGTCGGTATATTTGAAGGCTGAAACTCACGGATTACCCCGTCAACTTCGTTGTAAGTGACCCTCTCCATTGTTAGCAGTTTATTTTGTAAATCTTTCAATCTCGACGACGTAACCTTAAATAATAGATGAGTAAACAAAAACTGTAATCGTATTTTGATGGAACTGAATAAAACCGCGAGTTACGTAATGAGTTGCTAGGCCGGCATGGTAACAGTCAGCACCATGAAGTCGGTAACCGGTGAGAGCAAGGTATAAACCGAGATTATCCTGGACAGAAAGAATGGAATCGCAACAAATTTTCGTAAATTGAGTCAACTTTACTCAGTAAAATCTTAAAACCATAACATGCAAAGTTTACGAACTTTCAATCTTGAAAGGAAGAATGACCCTCCCACGTCAGGAAATAGACCTAACGCTGTTTCTGGCATTGCGAGTAACGTACGCTCGGTTCCAACACGAAACCGTCCGTTAACTGAAAGACCGCAACCCTATAATCATCTAATTAAATGAAAAATCTCGGAGGAAATAACGTAGCAAAAATATTCATGGCCATGGTGAGCATTCCTCCCAACGGTTAACCGCCTCATCGTGGCTGAGAGGTGTTCCAGGGTGTAAGGCTGCGATGTACAGCAGCGGTATTCATCTCATCTCCCCAACAGGGTCTCCCAAGTTGAGAAGGAGTCCAGCATTTCCATTAGGAAGCTTAGCTAAGAGTAAACTAATACCAGGATCCACCACCGTCCTGGTATCGAAGTCGTATGGTGGCAAATCTTCCTCTGATCCACAAGGACGGCGATTGTCTGTGGTGGTGATGACCTGGGTCAGATTTTGGCTAGGCTGACCTCGGGACTCGAATGAAGCACAATGGTTAAATAAGCAAAACTCCGAAAAAGTGGAAATTGTTCCAGTTTACTACAATCAGTGAAGATGGGTCATCGAAGTGTCCAATGTGGTGAATATCTGAGAAATGAAAAAACAAAACTAAATTTAATGGACGAACCCCTCCCATGACTATTCCGTCAATGAAAGCGACGAAGGTTTTCGATAGACTTCCTATAAGATGGTTCAATCGGTACTCTTCCCTTAAATTGAAAATTAAGATCAAGATAATACCAGAACAGCAGTTAATTCTTGCCGCTGAATTGCTTTCGATAGCTAAGTCTTACCTGAAGAAATCCTTGTGGGTAGTCGAAGTTCCACCACTAGCAGCTTCTTTAGCAGACCTGGTTACAGCTGAAGCGTTTAGCAATTCAGTAATAGTTAAATCAAAGTTCCTAGCTCAGAAATTAAATAACCTAAGACATCTCCGCCTGCACAGAATGCCTTCTCACCGGAACCTTTGAGGATGATCATACTTACATCTCCACCGTCTTCCCATTTCTAAAGAAACTGTGAACAAACAAAGTATGACAATAAAATGCGACCTTACTATCCGAAAGTACTGTAAGCACTGCATGCTGTTTCAAGAGTGATGGTTCAGTGAAGTCATTATACTTACTTGGACACTTGGACGGCCCGTCTTCACTTTTCGAAGTTTTGCTGATTTAGCCGATGTATTTCCCTGGAGTCCCGAGGTCAGCTTGGCCTAAGTCTGCCACAGGTCGTCACCACCACAGACGGTCGCCGCCCTTGTGGACCAGAGGGAAATTTGCCACCAGCCAACTAGCTTGATACCAGGACGGAGGTAGATCCTGGTATTGGTTTACTTTTAGCTGGGTTTCCTGATGGGAACGCCGGACTTCTTCTCGGCTTAAGAAACCTTGCCGAGGGGATGAATCCCCCGTTGCATATCGCAGCTCGACACCCAGGCACACCTCGCAGCCACGATGAGGCGGTAAACCGTTGGGAGAGCTTTTGCATAAGTTTATTTAAACGTTGAAGGGCGAAAGCCAATCTTTCTTAGGCTTCTCTCGGGTAAGATCTATGTACTCTGACTGTTATTTAGCTATTCAAAATTTCGTCAATCTCCCTTGTGTTGTACGTTGATAACTCTCGACGATACCCACTAAATAAAACAGTCAATGACTTTGCTATTAGAAGTCCTGCATGAAGCCAGTGTCCTCCTGTACACAAATATAAATGCGTCGTACATTATAGGAATTAGACTACCCGTATAAATGATTTCTTGAAATCGGAACCGAGGAATCTGAGGAGAATGAGAGCAGACGAAGATGGAGTAAAGGAAGTAGGCAGTGACTGGGGAGAAAGGAACAAGGAGAACAACAGAGAGAAAGAATTTGATCGGAAAAAGAGGTATATATAGGATGATAACAGAACTGAGAAGGTAGGATATGGAGCGAGTGAGAATAAGGAGAGCTGAAGGAGAAAAACGTGGAGGCAGGTAGCTATGTAGAATGAACTAAAACAGGTCAATACTTATCAGTTTTACATCGTTTGAAGAACGTTCTGTCCAATAAGAGCGTTCTTTACTGCCAATGGGAAGAACTGAGGTGACATAGGAGTTGAAGCATTCTTTGGGGCCTGTGAAGTCCTTCCCAAGCCACACCGTTTGAAGCACTTCCACCAATGTTTGAAGACCATAGAGCTAGTCTTTTTACGACGAAGAACCTTACAAAGACTATAATGAACTGAATTAGTAGTTTCAGCCCTTTACTACTGAACCAAATAGGGCCGGAAAATATCAGCGAGGAAAGGACAATTAATGAGAACACATGGTACAGTGAAAGATCAAAGAATCAGATTACAGTGAAAAAGCAAAACAATTTTAAAAATAAGGTAATTATGAAGATTGGCTTACTTTGAACCGTGGGTAGATCTCTCGTACCATACTAAGATTGAGAGCATTCAAAGCTTTTGGTCGATTCAAAGTCAGGATTCGCTTCGAACCCTCTTCTTGGACGATTATCTCGGAAATCGACGTACTCATCGCCATCCGACATGTTTCCTAAAGCTTCTTGTCAAAATGAGCAGTATTTTAACTGTGGAGAGTTCCTTAACCTCAAAAAACGACCTACTTTTAGTTCGGTTCTTATGATACTAGGATTTGCTATGATCAATATGAAATGTTAGACGAACAAGCATAAAATTCTTTCGCAAGCAAGGATTTCAACCACACATTGAATCCAATTCAAAATGAGGAAGAGTTTGTAAATGAAAATTATAACACTATAGACCTGAATTCTCGAACGATTATCTCGGATTTCCAGGTACTCACCGCCATCCGACATATTTCACAAAGTTTCTAGCCAATATCAGCAGGACTTTTTAAGTTTCACTTACTCTGAAACTTACTTTAACTCTGAAAACTGCTTCCATCTTATTTCTTATCTTTCTTTCTACCTTCTAACTTACCTTAACTCTTCTAACTTACTTCTTCTCTTCCTTCTAACTTCTAAGTTGCTTTAACTGTGGAAAGTTCCTTAACCGCTAAAGGCGACCCACCTTTAGCTCGGATCTTATGATAACAGCTTTTTGCTATGATGATTATGAAATGTTAGACGAACAAGCATGAAACTCTTTTGACAGTAAGAATACGTAAAATACGCATTGAATCCAATTCGTAGGTGAGATAGGAACACTTATTGAGAACTACTCTGAACTTAAGGAGACCACTTACGGCAGGATTTATCCTTAGTAAGCGTCGAAGTAAAGGCGATAGCATCAACTCCGATAGTGGTTTAGTGAAGTACACAAAAACTAAAATGACAAACAAGTAGTACAGGTGCCAACTAGTACTTTAGCATCACATTAGCGTAGGTACGGTGGCACTGAAACGATCTACCAATCGATCTGGACACTGCTGGCAATTTGTGCAGGGCTAGAACAAGTACTGCTTGTACTACGATGACAAAATGGGCTTACTATATGAAAACTGCTGGGGGACTACATAATACAGTCCGCTTTGAGTAGGTCGTTTGGAAAAATCGACATTGATGTGGTGGTAGTGATAACATACATCGATTATTTAGGGCATGTGTCTCAAACGTTCCCGAACTCGGATCGCTTCTCCAGAAAACTGAATCGTACGTCTCAAGGATAACCATACTCTTTTTACTGATTTTTTTATAAGTACGTATAAAAGTACTGCAATTCTTTTGGAAAGTTGAACCCCAGGATGTGGAAGATGCCTTTCGGTAGATGTCACAGTCATTGTTATGCATTGTACACAATGCATAACTTTTTACTTACTGCTTATTATTCTTTTCCTGGCAGGCTATTATGTGAGATATCCGCTAGGGTAAAACACTAGCTGAGAGGCTGAGAGGGAAAGGTAGAACGACGGTAGGGATCACTGGTACAGTGGGTAATACGCGAATTCCCGGAAAGGGTATCGCCGGTTCGAATCTTGCCTGGGGTCCAAGTTTTGCGATTATCTCAGCATCATTGTGGCTATGGATGATAAAATATCTAGGATACAAACGATGCACTTAAGGTACACTGGCGATTATTTGACAATAATAAGTCTATCCTGCCGGAGTTCTTAGGAACTGATAGAGCCAGATCTCTGAGCGCATGGACTAATGGGAAAGGATCACTGACGTATAGCAGGTAGAGTTAGCTTAACATTAGCTAATAACTATAAATATTCTTCGTTGGTTTGAAGGAGCACATCATTTACCCATCCATATCGCTCCGCGATGTCGGTCTAACCCTCCTTAGTTTCCTAGGAGGAACAGGGTTGAGTGGAAGCGTAACTCCATAGGTGTCGTCACGACGATTTCTTTTCCTTCACAAAATCAAACCGGTATGAGTGTTTCGTTCAAAGTTAAACCGATATGAACATGGTTCCAGAACACAGTCATTCTCGGGAGCTTCCTCCTCTGTGTGATAGTTAAGGGCCGGAGGCTATCTAGCGTACCAATTGTAGACCGTACCTTATCTCACACTGTTTTAAAAGTCTTCCTTAATCAATTACCTCACTAGATCGGCGTACGTAATTCCTATCCATCCATCATTATGCAAAGAATTGCCGACTTCACGTTAAGCGATTATATCGATGTAAACGACGTATGGAATGGAAGCATCAGTTTACACGACGTATTCCATCAACCATAAAGTGATCGTTACGAGTCAAAACTGATGTCCTATTCATCTTTGTGAAGTCTAAGAGCTTCTCAGCGAGTTTCGTAAAACCATCACTCTCAGTCTGGAGTCTGGAGCTCCTGACTTTTAAATCTGCACATGGATTCTCCACAGATAGCTCTAAGATCTCTGCCGTGGGGTTTTAGGAGGGTTAATAGGTCCCTTGATGGTGTTTTCTAAAACAAAAGAGCTAGAGAGTTATTTGTTGAAGGATAAATCGAGTCGCCTCCCTTGTGTGTAAGCTCTTATCCAAAGCAAGATGATAGTACAATTTTCTTAAGTGGGAGTGGATCCATTCGGGCAGTGTGTGTACTTACGTACAAAACACATGGTATTACATCATAGAAGAGATGGAGAGCTCATATCCTTAATCCAGGATTGCTTCCGAACTTCGAATAGGTTATTCGATGCCTTCGGACGGGATACGTAGCCCTACGACTAACTAGCTCAAGAAAGTCCATAACATGAAGAAGTTTTGTTAAGGGGAGTTAGTAGTGAATGCAATTCTCCACGTAGTTCTATTTCTGCTAAATCATTTTTCGAAAATTGGCCTCATTTTTGAAGGTCTTTTAGATTACTAAAAAAAATATTTGCAGTTTTCGTTCAAGTTGTAAATTATTTGAGTATTATTATCTTAGTGCTGTTAGGTTATTGCAGCATTATGTTTTCGTAAGGAAATGAATTTGATTGTGTATTGGTTTTCAACAGGTTCGTCAAGTTAAGAGATCTAAGCTTTCTGAAATAGGACTATATATGCCTACACAGTCCTGTATGGAAAACCTACTACTCTAAATATGCATATTCTTGTTGAGACCAAATTTTGTGTGAGCACCCCTGGAGCATTCACCGGAGGAAGCCCTTACTCCTTTGGACTCAGTCCCATCATCGAAGGGAATTACAGATGGACTACCAGCATTACCCGTGGTTCTAGTCTAACTTACTACACCCTGGTTCTAGTCTAACTAGTTTGTTCTTGGCAATTTAGTATCCTTCGAAGCATCTCCTAATCCCACTAGGGTTGTTCTTCCCAGATTTTAGTATTTGTTTCTGCTTTCCTTTTTTCATATGTTAATTTAGTGATATTCTATCAGATGTTGAGTTCTAATGTAAAGTCATGCCATTCTAGATTTCCAGATGGGAGAAAGTCCATGTTTGGAATCCTTCAAGACCCCGACACTGCCTCATCTTCGGGAATCTGGCGAATCACATGATGCATTGGCCACACATTCAAGTTCAGAAGCAATTGAAAAGCTTGCTGCAACCACAATGGTAATTTAACTTTATTATTTTGATGAGTGTATTTACTTTAGACGTCCTTTTGTGGTCTCATCTTCGGAGACCTATCTTCAAGTGTTCATATTTAGCCTGACGACTTACCATCCACACCAACTGAACGTGCTGAAGCTGAGGCGAAGATCTCAATTGTCCATCCCACTCTACACTATAGCGCCCCTTCCTGGGCTTGCATTCCAGTACGTGGTCAGGGCTATAAGTTCGAAGTGAGTTCGTAGCGATTCTGAAAGTGAAAATTTTGGGTTTCCGTTCCGTATCTATTGGTACTACAGTTTTTTTTCAATATACTCTAATGTTTGGATACTTGTATGGCCCGTATTCATGGGTTGTGCGGACCCCAGCATCATTTCCACTGGTCCACTGGTTTAGAGTTTTTATGGTCAGGCAATTGTGGTTCCCTGGAGTCCCTAGGTCAGCTGAGCCAGTCTGTCCCAGGTCGCCACCACCGTAGGCAATCGCCTCCTTTGTGGATCAGAGGGAGGCTTGCCACCATGCGACTAGTTTGAAACCAGGGCGGTGGTGAATCCTGGTATTGGTTTACTCTTTTCTGGGTTTCCTGATGGGAACGGCGGACTCGTTCTCAACTTGGGAGAGCCTGCTGAGGGATGAACCCCTCTCTGTACATGGCAGTCCGACACCGAAGAACACCTCCCAGCCACAATGAGCGGTAAACCTTTAGCAGGATAGAGGATAGTGTAATAATCACTGATATATGTAGATTCTCTGATTAGATGGTCCATCCTCACATAACCTGCGAACCCCAACACCATTCGTTTTGCTGTCGTGCAACCGTTATTAGCAGAAATACTTCGGTTTGTGTGTAGGTGATGTTATAGTTTACGGATCCACTTTCCTTTGATGAAGCCTCAGAAGCAAACTTTGTATGGTGCAGTGTTACCAAATGTGTGCACACTGTTCAATGTTCAAATTATGTCTGAAGAACAGAGCAAGCGTCGAGGACCAACGAGAGGTTCCACCTCTTTTCAAACATCTGTAGTTGATCATGAAAGTCAAGGTGTTTGACAAACAATGCGTAAATTGATGCAATTATGGCTACAACTTCATTTTTTTTTACAGAATTACTTGAACCTGCTCTTTACTCAGATGCAATCATCTATAGAATGGGTTGTTCACCACAGGCGGTCGATATTCTGCTTAGTAATCAGGTTAACCAGGTGATAGGCGCCTCAATTCTGGTCCCAGAAATTTTGCCAGGAGAATTATGATCACTGTCTCTTTTATTCAATGATTAGCTAACGTGATGTTGATACATAATTTTATTCGGTTATCATTTCGACCCCTTCATTTATGAAGGAGTGTGAACAATCTACGCGAATCATTTCGGCTCTGATGATGACTAGGACACTGAAATTTTAGCTGAATAAAGTTGTATATCAACGTCGTATTAGCGTATCAAGGAAAAAAACGCGTTGGTTTTTCATAGCGTGATTAATTGAAAATCAGTTTACAAAGCCAAAATCTTGGTCACCCTTTGCTGGTCTGCTACCGCATTTATTCGCTTTCCTTCACCACTATAGGAGTATATGGCTACGTATTGTTACGGAGAGTATTTGAAGATAAAGGAGAATTTCGTAAATTTCTAAATTCTAACGTTATTGCTCTTATAAAAATATGCGGAAATTTACGAAAAACAAGCGTGGACCATCGACTCGGGTCAGGTTCTGAGGAAGACGAAGAAGTCAAAACGTTTGCCGAAAATAAATATAATTATCAACCTCGTGTAAGCTCATCAAAGAAAGAATACATATCCGGAAATTGTGATATTTTCTTTTTTACCCTGAAACGGTGTAATGGACTTACTTTTTTTTCCGATGGTCTGGTTTACTTATCCGAAGCGTTACAAACTGATGCATTTGGAAGTTCGATTTTGTCAAAATGTCCTATTTAAGGCTATTCTACTCAAAGGATTTAACAAGATCGTAAGCACTAGCTAGGATTTTCACGAGCTCTTTATTCTTGGTTTACTATGTTTAATTCTCTTCTATCTGGTAGACACTTAGTTTGATATAGTAGGGAAATATTTCAAGCAAGATTTCCACCAAAATTGTCCTTCTTTCATTAGAATAATATTCTAGTCACTTTTGAAATTTAAGTTATTTTTAAGTGCTCGTGCTCACGGTGGATTTGATAGTCCTGTTCGCACACTAATGTTTAAAACTTTTGTTGAGCAAACGATTTCTGGTCTGTTTTTGGAACATTTTTATGACATCACACGTTTCGTTGAGAGGATGGGGGGATAGCAGCACTGGCTCAATACAACGGTAGACAACGGCGAGTCATTGTAAAGGCCAGATACGCATTCATTCACTCTCTAACAATGAAGTCGAATGCATGGCGTATCCCTCTGGGACTGATCTATGCCGGCTGCTTTATCTTCTTCTTAGCATGCGTTTCGTTACAACGCCACAGTCGCAAATTGAGCAGTCCAAAATATTGCAGGTCGTCAAAAATGGTGTCGTTGTTGATGTGATTGATTTGGACTTAAGGAAACATGATACGTTCGTAGTTATCGGCCGTTTGCCCAATTGTGACGTGGTACTAGGTGAGTAACACTACAAAATATGATCACCTTAAAAATCTTTTAAATTCAGCTTGCCTCGTTTAACATCTTTTTGTGCGCATAATTACGTTACATTAAATAATAACAAGTTATACATTTGCAAATTACTAGTTTATTCCATGTTCTGAATTATTCTTGTTGTGTTCGTGCAAATACAAATTTTATTTGTTGCAGATCATCCCTCAATATCACGATATCACTGCGTACTACAATATGGAGATGACACAATGGATAGAACCGGAAAAGGATGGCACATTTACGACTTGGGTAGTACCCATGGCAGTAAGGCGAACAAGAGAAAACTTCCTGCAAAACAGTACATCAGAATTCGAGTTGGATACGTTCTTCAGTTTGGAGGTATTTGATCAGCGATCTTGCATTACGTAAAGAGGATGTTGTTGCTGTGACGTCATGGATTTTTTAGCCGAATTGGTGGGGGTTGGGGTTTTTGTTAAATTTTTCGGACTTTAAGGCAGTACACGACTGTTGTCTTTACTTGGACCGTCGCATGATTGTGAAGCAGAATGGAATTGCTCACCTAATGAAATGCGGGAAAAGTTGCATAAGAAAGTGAGTGGCGTTATACCTAGTCCTGTTTAGAGAGCAGGCTTAGATCTAAACAGTGTTGTCTCTTTGAAAATGAATTTGACTTTTTTAAAGGCGTTGGATGCGAAATTGAGTGCGTTAGCGCAAAAAGAAATGGAGCATGAAGAAGCAAATGAGGCAGAGGAGTTGACTGGAAGAGGTAGTGAAGGTATCGATTGGGGTATGAATTATGGTGAAGACGATGTTCATACAGATGAAGTAAGTCTTTCTCGATTTTTGAAGCAATTTTCTACCTACGCGCTTTCATATATGTTTGTATTTAAGATTGAAATGGACGCTCACTTGATGGATGATCGTGAGCAGTATTATCGAGCTGACCCGAAAAAAGCGCTGGCTAAGTTTTTTGAGCGCGAAGGCTTCGATATGGTGTTTCAAATATCCGAACAAGGAGTGGGCCATTCACACAAGTGGTTATGCACTATTGAGTAAGTCTGTGTAGAAAGTTCGATATTGTTAAAACCGTTCCTGTTTAGGTGGGTCGTCGGTTCAAATACTGGTTACGGATTTAGCTTGCCATTTTGAAGTATTTTTACAAATGCGGTAGTGCCACCAAGTAACATAGATCATTTACCTGGACAAGCTTCGAAACTGGTTCAATGAACGTGATTAAGGGTTACAGCTGGAGTGGGCTATTATATATAAGTCATGTATAGTACTGGACAAAAGCTAATGGTTTACGTCTTCCTTGTATAATAGTTGATTGCTCAAAATAACCTCTTACCAATTTTACCAAACACTTAGAAATTCTTAAATTCTGGGAGTCAGAATTTCGAAGGGAATTCATTAATAAACCATATTAGATGTCTGTTACCGTTGAAAGGTCACTCATTAAAATGTTATTCTCCAAAGGATAAAAAATGATAAAACTCTCTACGTTGATCAAACCCAAAGGGATGCGCCGTGCATTCAACTTCACTAAGTATCGTTGGAGGTGATTGGATGCACATCTGGCCTTTACAATGACTTTCGTTAGCCAACCGTTGTGTAGATCCAGCGCTGCTATCCTCCCAGACAGGTCTAGTACCAATTTGTCGACCTCGGAAAGATGGAAGGCTTTGTGAGCCTGGAGCCCGGGATCAATCCTGTTGTACTGCAGGGTGCCTCTAACCACTGTGTTACACGCGTTCCCACTCCTCTCTAAGGTAGTTAGAAAACGTCTTTGAATGCGTCGGAAGCTTTTACGGGTAGGTGAACTAATATGCACTGATTTTGGAACGGTAAGCAGTTACTGGTTATTATCGATCAGACAAGCATGTGCGAAAACTTTTTGAACATCCTAATTACTATTCATAGCCGAGTTACCAGACAATTATTCCAGCCCTCAATTGTGTTTGAAAGCTTCCCAGCATTCACATCGTTCCTTGAGTCTTATTTAGGCTTCCGATCGAAATCAATGGCGTTGATCGAGCTTACACTGCCCAAGCAATAGTTTCAACATCAAAAAAGGATGCCCAAGTGCAGTGTGCTTTTGAAGCGTGTCGCATCTTGGATGCTCATGGAATTCTTAGGTATTTTTTTGCCAAACGAGCTTTTTTATTGAATCTCGTGTAATTTTTCCGTTAGCGTCATTACTACAGATGCCTTTTTTGTATGGGAGCATATTTCCATTTGGGAAGAGATTTTAATTCCACTCCAAAAAATGTCTTGTGGCGAAGTGCATAAAGGTTTGGCTGCTTTACTGAGATGTTCGACCGAATTCGTTCTGTTCCATTAACATAATCAGTTTGCTAACGGCTTCATATTCAACCCATAGGTTTATGAGCGAAAGTAGTATGTTGCTACTTTTAGACAGAATTAGCAATTTACATCTACCGGAGTGGTGGAGGATTTGATTGACGGAGTTGTGGTTCGGATATGGGACAAATGCATATTCACTGGTGTTCAGTATCACAGTTGTTAATTAAAGTGTGCGTCCTTGACGAGATCTAGAAGTTCCCTATCATTTTCGCTCGCTTGAACCACTGAGTATCATTTTTTTTGTTACGAGACCCTGCCTTTTTTGGTATTTTCACTGCTTTTAGCGAACAAATGGCCACTATTTGTTTGCTTTGCCGGAATGTGTCAACGTGTTGTCTTTGTTTTATAGCAACCGAAAAGGGACATCGTCTTGAGGGCCGCGAATTTAAGAGGCGAATTAATTATAGGATGATTTTGTAAACATGTAGTATACTAAGGACTTGCAGAATATAAATAAGAGGATAAAGTTCTCGGCGTTGGTCAATCCCTGAGGAATGCGCGATGCATTCGACTTCATTAAGCATCGTTGGAGGTGAACGAATGAATATCTGGCTTTTACAATGAATCGAGGTGGCCTACCGATGTATCGAGCCAGTGCTGGTATCCTCCCAGACAGATCTGCCACCAATTTGTCGACCTAGAGTGATGGAAGGCTTGGTGGGGCTGGGGCACAAGGAACGACCTCATGTGTATTGCAAGACGCTACACGCGCCTGTTCACAAAATATAGGTAACGATCAATTATATTCAAGCAATTTTTGAGAACAAACATTTTACCTTGGTAGTGTTTATTTCACCCTTTGTTAACATTATTCTAGGGTTTCCTACATTTTTTGTCTGAAGCGCAATTTCTTTACCAGCTTTTTGCTCGTGATGCCAAAGGAGCTATCATATGAAAGTAATGTGAAACCGAACTATATAGGCTCTACCGATGATCCATCACTTTTTTTCGTGCTTACAGTGTCATGTTCCAGGTGTGGTTCATATTTTAGCTCGATGCTTTGATAGCTCGTCTGATTTTTATTTATTTGCAAGTAAAGCGAAACGTATACCTTTTTTATTATTATAAGTATTTTGCCGATGTTGTCAAATTGGGGACTTTGCTGAAAGATGCTATTTTTTTCGGCAAACGATAGTTCGATACCTGAGAATCTTTACTGATCACAGTAAGGCAGTAGTACCATTAGAAGCAGTAAGACCATTAGAAGGTTAGGTAGGAAAACTTTGGAATATGTTTTGTTTCCTTTAAAGTGGCAGAAAACATATTATCATTTAACCTCCTTGCAAGGCTGAGGTGCTTAGTTTCCCATTTTACATAGGTCTTGTTCTTATGATCCTTTTAACTTGACTCTGATTATCCTTTTCAATTTAGAGGAACAAATTCGAAAGCCAGGATAAGAAAAAATGACATGGAAGCAAATGATTTCTATGATGAGGATGATGATGAGTATTTAGACCGAACTGGTCAGATTGAGAAACAGAGAGAGAAGCGCATGATGTGGGCTAAAGTGTGTACTTTTCAATTTATAGAACGTTTCACTTGTCATTTTGAATTTGAATTTCTCTATGTTGTACCAGTCTTCATTTCTTTTCTAGGGTAATAAACGTGGTGATAAGATTGAGAAGAAGAGCACGTATGAATCGCTGTGCAAGGAACTTGAGGAAACCCGGAGTAATATTGTGGAATTGAAAAAGAAGCTGGACGATCTTCATGCAGTAAGAACTTATTATTCATCTTTAACGAAACGTGATCCGTCTTTTTATGAAGGCTAGCATCTCGACTAACACGGGAGATTCATTGGATGACTACTGTAGACAACTTAATGAAGGCCATGGTCTGATGACAGATATGAAGGTCGGTCGCTTGTACAGTGTTCATGACTATGCAAGATTTTGTGTGAGATGGTTGGTTTAGAACAAGATTGACATCTCATTACTTCGGCAAAAGTATGTAACTCTCACACATGATGCTCAACGACTTGAGAAGCTTGTTAAAATTGCAAAACCTACAGCACTTCCTGAAATAAAAGTCGCCGGAGCTATTGCTGGTTAGTCTGTTTCATTGGTTGAGGTTTAGTATCTACATACTGTCTTTCACTAGGCACTAATAAACAAGCGTTCCTACGGAAAACGATGATGGTTGGACGAAAAATGCATGCTGATGGAACGGCTACTAATAAATCAAAAGAAGACGAGATGAACCCTGCCGTTGAAATGGCCTCAGCATCTGTGTCATTTAAGCCTGAAACTGATGAGGATGAAGAGGTTGCACTTAGATACATCTGAAACTTTGTTCTTTGGTAGTCTCATGCAACAAAATACCCATTTTTTCTGCAGCTTCTATCCAAAGCTTGTAATGGCTTAGACTACTCTCCATAATACTCATTTTTAGGCTGAGGACGTTGGAAGGATCGAACTAGCTGTCGTTCACGTTGATCCGACTCATTGTGGGGCTGTGTCTACTAAAACAGCGGAGAGAAAACCCGCTTCTGCTTCAGAGCATGGAAATTATTCTTCAAAAGAAGGGGTTGCGCAGCCTGGAACATCAAAGTCAGAAAAGGATAATTCTCATGAAGTACATAGTGCAGGTGAAGGTGAAGGTGAAGGTCATCACTTGGAAAGGTCGAAGTGCTCAGAACGTGAGAGTGAAGAATATAATCCACCGAAGAAGAAAAGACGTGCAAGGGTACGAACAAACAGGCCTTCGCTAAGCTCAGTGGATGACTACGGTACTGGGTAAGTAAACTGATTTATTCGTGCAACTTTATGGATATAATTTTTCTTTAAAGGCCTAGCGGATTATAGTTTATCGAAAAATAAATGTTAAGCTGGTCTATTCAAGGGTCGATGATGATCGATATGCTACTTGGCTTCCACCTGACGATCAAACAGGGGACGGCAAGACTGTTCTGAACCGCAAGTTCGAAGGAAGATACTAAGTTTGAGATGTTGATCTCCTGCGATATGTGATTATGTCAGAATGAATATTACCTCACTGTTGCCTTGCATGATGAACCAAGAATAGATAGAGCCATTGTTTATCTGGCTTTCGTCTTTGTCAGCATCCCTATCCCGACTTTGTCCCTTTGTTGAGCTTCACACACATGTTGCCGTATTATGTGCTGTATTAAATCGTATACATTGATCTATTTTTGTTCCGCTTGTTTTCATTCTAACTTTGGTTCTATAGTTTATACTAATTTGAACTTTCATGGAGAAAGAGGCCAAGGCCATTGAGACAGGTCATAACATTAATGCTTCGTTTGGCTAGAGGACAACTAGCGTATGTTCAGTGCAAAGTGAATGTTGGGCTCAGAAATATTGCGAATGGTCTGAGAATCTTGAAGATTAAGAAAGCAAGAGACGTCCTCTTGTTGACATCGACAGATGATTGACGTTGAGTGAAGTAAATCTGCTCAGAACGACTGCCTCGATCTGGGTAAGAAGGAAAGGTGGTTGTAACCATGCTTCGATACAAACAGTTTTTGACGATTAAGCCCACATTACGCTCAAACGTCTTCATCACAATGTGTTCCGGAGACTAGTTCACCATCGTTGCCCAAGTAAAGTGCTGCGTGGACAAAGTCCCGGTCTCGGTATCATCCGTTTAGTTCGTACGGTTTCTCCAGTGCTTCGGAAACCTTCGGTGATTGTTGGATGGTGAGTGTTAAATTCTTTAGAAAACTCTTGGGTGATCCTTAGGGGTTGAGCTCCGATCATCTTCTTCAGATGGCTGTCGTCGACGGATGGATGACGTCCATGAGCTCCGCCCTACAGATGTATAATTCCAACACGAGACCTTGAGACTCTTCACAGTCCATTTTTTGACGGCATTTTGACATGTTCCCTCTTCGACGATACGGTAACTTTGGACTCATGAAAGAAGACCACATTTTATAATAGTAGCAAGAGATTTCGGACTACAGTTGAAACTCTACGCAGTAGTACTGATATCAAATCCGGTCATAATTTTCCGGGACTGAATGGGGCAAGGCACTCCCAGTCGACTCTATGACTGTCTGGGTAGTTCTGGAGATTTGCAGTAAAGTAACGAACGTATTCTTAAAGTACATCGTCCGGATACAGATTTATTATCTAAATTCTCGATAGAGCGCGAGGTGTCTGCAAGGGTGTTCGGACAACTGATCTTAAGTCATGCGGTGTGAAGGCGAGAGGTGGTCGTCGTCGTGCGGTTTTCGAGCTGTTCAGAGCAAACTGGACTGGCAATACTTTATCATTATGGGTTTGGTTCCTTGGGAAACAAACAGAATAAAGTGAGAACGTGTCAAACAATGGAAGCGCATCTGATGATACTAGGATTACATGAGGTTGTGGTAGTCTAATCCTTAAGAACTTACAAGTTAACGAGGTGGAAATGAAAAGATATGCTGTGTTCTGTACAAAGCCTGGGAGACTATTATCGGTCTAAAGTGTTCATAGATCTGATTTCAAAGTATTTTACAATTCCCTTACTTGTTATCGAATGATTTTTGTTCTCTTCTTCAGGAAGACCTCCCAGCGGTTTACCACGTTATCGTGGCTGGAAGGTGTTCCTGGGTGTCGAACTGCGATTTACAGCGGTGGCATACCCCATCATGTCTCCCAAGCTGAGGAGTTCAGCGTTACCATTAGGAAGCCCAGCTAGGAGTAAACCAATACCAGGATCCACCACTGTCCTGGTATCAAACTAGTCGCATGGTGGCAAATCTCCTTGATCCACAAGGGCGGCGACTGCCTGTGGTGGTGACGACCTAGGTAGACTTCAGTCAGGCTGACCTCAGGACTCGAGGGAAGCACAGTAACTAAATCGGCAAAACTTCGAAACAATGGAAATGATGTTGGGGCCCGCACCACCAGTAAAGGTGGGCCATCCAAGTATATAGGTATCCATGAAAAACAGGATAACAGGCCCTTTCATGACAGTGAGCATGAAAGAAAACCGACTGCGTCAAGCCGAGAGTAGCTGAAAACTCTTCGAGGATAGGACTATGAAATACAATTCTAGAATGTCTAGTCGTCCTTTTCGTATGAATGCCGTCCATGTCCACCTTAGAGTAGAATAAGGAAACATCTTTACCGATTACTAATTGTTTATGTAGATAATATATTACTACACACTACTATAGGAAACCCTAGCCTGAACAGTAAAAGAGATTTTGAAATCGGTCGCGCGCGGCAGCCAACGTCGCGCGTTATTGGAGTGGAGCAGTTTTACGTCAATCACATTCGGATAGCCAAGTGAATAGTATTGAATCGTATACTCTTCCTGGAATCTCTGGATGGCCTATCAGAAATGTTCTTATATTCTCGATTTTCTAACCAGCATGAAGACTGTTTGATCTGCTAAAGAGTTTTTTCTTAAAAACCTTTACTTAAGAGTTTACTCTGACGGAGTTTACAGTTACATGTTTACTTTATAGTTATCTAGGTGTTCGCTTAGGTATACTAAAATTCTGTACGATGTTTTTGTACTAAGTGTTTTCATCATTCTATGAGAAACCTACTAAATTTAGTGTGTACGTGAGTGGACAAAATCGATTATTGGTTGCTTCGTTGTTCCGGAAAATCATCATTGCTGGATATTGAGTCCAATGGTTTGTGAGCTTCTTTTAATCTTAAATAAGGATATACCTACGTCTAGTTATCTCTTGGGCTATCCCTATTGAGTAAGAATAGTTTAGGGTGCAAGCTCATCGTCACAACTCGAACGTGAAATCAACGGTGAACCTCACTCTGGTAACGAGCACTATTATGGCTTAGTGAATGTAAGCTCTCTTTATGAATTATTCTCTCTTCATAAGGGATTTTGTCACTAAACGTTTCCTTGATAAGGTCGAGAGCAGTATGCTCAGCTACCACACAGAATAGTTTTCACATATCTTTCAGGGATCCGTAGATCTTTCAAGAATCTGTTTGTCCTGTTTTAGTTCGGTAATACATGCTACTGTAACTCAGTCATCCAAGCTCTTTACTTCTGTCGACCGTTTCGGGAAAAGATTTTGCAATATAAACAACAGTTGAAGAAGTCGGGTGAGCATTCTGGTGTCTGTGTTATGTTTTTAAGTATCGTATTCCAAAGAAGGTGATGTTTATATTTTGTTTTTTGAACGTTAATTTTACTATAATGATGCTGAGATATTTACAAAGTTCCGGGCTTGCTGTGACCCTTTCCAGGGGCTAACGCGTTCGTCAGCACACTATGCGGGTCCTTCGTTTTGCCTGTCTCTCAGCTAGTTTTCTGTCTCCAATGCCGTCACCAATCACTCGTCTAAAGGATTGATCTGGGGAGCACGAATCGGCAGTGGACCCAGTTAAGCTGACGCTTTAGTTGAAATCACAATTTTAACCTTTTAGAAATCGTAGTAGGCGGCAAATAAAAGCTAACGTTGTGATTTCAACTACAGCCTCAGCTTAACTGTGTTCAATGCCGATTCATGCTCCCCAAATCAATACCGTTGATGGGTGATTCCTGATGGCACTGGTAGATAGAAAATTAACTAGCTGAGAGAAAGGCGAAATGAACGACCACTTATGGTGTGGTGGTGAACGTGTTAGCCATCGGAAAGGATAATAACGCGTTTGTTCTCCACTGCAGTTACTTCTGTATCTTTATGGTTGTATTTCACCTAATACTCTGCCTTAATAAGTTGTATTATGGAGCGGATAAAAGGTTAACATTTATCTTACTCATTTTAGGAAGTCAGAAGGAAAATTTGCTTACTTGCCTTGCTGACCTATTTCACAATATTGCCACTCAGAAGCGTCGTGTCGGAACGATCGCTCCGAAGCGATTTATTACGAAACTGAAGAAAGAAAATGGTTCTTTATTTTTTACGATATACTTCTTTATGTGGTGGTTTTCCTTCCTTTCTTGTAGAATATATCACTCCCCAATTTTTCAGAGCTTTTCGACAATTATATGCAACAAGATGCGCACGAGTTTCTGAACTATTTGCTTAATACGGTCTCTGAGACGCTTATCGAGGAAAAGAAGGCAGAACGTGATCGTTTAATGCGAAATGGTACTTTACGCAAAGGTACAGTTGGTGCTGACAAACTAAGAGACGAGGGCAACAGGTTGGTTCTGGAGGTCTTTGTGTTATTAAGGTAGTGGAATGTACGGCATGGTTTCTTTCGTTTATTCGAGACGCAGCAGATTCGTTAAGTTTCAGCTCATCATCAAAGGCAGACAAGACGTGGATTCACGAAATATTCCAGGGCACTCTAACGAACGAGACTAGATGCTTGTGTTGTGAAACGGTGTGCTTACACTGTCGTTTTGACAACAATTCGCAATTACTATTTACCGTAGAGGTCAAATCTTGAAGAAATCCGAGTTAGTATGTATCTCTTACAAGGGGTTTATTTCAGGTATCCAGTAAGGATGAAGATTTTCTTGATCTTTCTGTCGATATCGACCAAAATGCTTCAATCACTCACTGTTTGCGAGTTTTTAGCGAAACTGAAACGTTATGCGGTGATCAGGTTCTTCCTTTTCTGCACTGTTCTAATTATGTGTTGTAACCCTTCTCGAAGCGCGTGACGCAGTGCTCGGAGGCGCCCTGCATTATATTTGGAATCGATCCCCGCGCCCAGGGGTCACCAAGCTTTTCATCTCTTCGGGGTCGTAGATTTGTGCCAAACTTGTCTGAGAGGATAACAGCATTTACTCTCTACATTGATGGGCCACCGCGAGTCATTGTAAAGGCCAGATATGCATCCAATCACCTCCAAACGATCCTTAACAGAAGTCGAATGCATGGCGCATCCTTCAGGGATTGATCTACGTCGAGCTTTATCCTTTATCCTTTTAGCCCTTATCATCAGTATTTTGTTTTCTTTTCCAAGATCAGATACAAGTTTTAAACCATTTTCTGTTAAGTACCCTTTCGAATTGGAAGGGCATTCCACCATAGCCGGATATACCAAAGAAATTTTGGTTCAGAAATATTTTTGCGAAACGTGCTCATCCAAACAAGAAGCGCAGAAGCGAATGCGTATTAAACGATTACCACACATGCTGGCATTGCACTTAAAACGGTTCGTTTATTTTATTCGTTCATAAATTTATGCTAGTTCCCACTCAGAGTTTGTATGCTTTTCTCAGTCTATCCACAATGATGCTGAGATATTGGAAAAACTTCGGACCGCAGATGTTTGCAATGTGGATCGAGCACGCTATTACCCTTTTCGGGGGATAACGCGTTCACCACCACACCATTCGGGTCCTTCGCTTTACCTTTCTCTCGGCTAGTTTTATGTGTATCGTTGCCATCAGCAATCATCCGTCACCCTTCGTGGTTGTATTTCACGTAATACCCGGCCATAGAAATTGTATTAGGCAGTAAATAAAAAGTTAACATTGTGCTCTTTTCAGTTTTAAATATATGGACCAACTCAGTCGGTATACGAAGCTTTCTTATCGGGTTCTGTTTCCACTTGAGCTGCGATTATTCAATGTGGTGAGAATTAGTTTTGCAAGCTAAATTTCTAGTTTAAGCCTTGCACATGCCATTGTTCTCAAGAATATTCCTGGATGAGTAGTGTGTTCGTCTTCATTTCGTTTTGGAGAGAAAGACCCTTGTGATACTTAAAAATCGTTTCCTTTAAGCCCACTACGACTAATCAACATCTATCCTTTGTTAGGTAAGCTTACACGAGGTTGATATGCAATCTTTATTCGGCTGTTTCCACCTAAAGAAACCATAAAAACGACGGAGCGCTAGCCGAATAGCGCTCATAAATTAACCTCGTATAAGCTTATCAACGAAAGAATATATATTTGTGAGACTACTTACACCATTTTGAAAGTTGGAATGTAGCATTTGCATTCCTAAAACTGTTTGGCCCCGTTTTAAACCATCGAAAATACGATTTGGTGGTGTAATTACGGAACAGTATTGGTAATCACTTGTAACTTCTGAACATCCAGTGCGGAAGGTGGATCTACAAACACTTACTGTTTTTCATCTACATATGAATTTCTCTCGCTTAGTCGTTTTCACTGTTGTGAACTCTAGTGTAACGCAGCACAACCAGACAAAAATCTGCCTTAGGCAACTAAACAGCTGCATTTATTATCAATGCGTTAGAAAGATCCTGTAGATTGCGTAGTTTGATGGTCTCTGGAAAGTGTGAAAATTCTGACTCATGTGGGAATTATGTGAAATTTTTGTTGTACAATTAATTATTTCCTTCTTACTTGACCCAATATCATATATTGCGCGGGCCTCAGCACTTCTTGCGGTCGATTCGTTTTCTCGCATTTATAATCTGTAAGCTCGCAACGGTTTACCTCCTCATCGTAGCTGGGAGGTGTTCCTGGCTGTCGGACTGCGATGTCGAACCAAGGATTCATACCTTGGCAGGGTCTCTCAAGCTGAGAAGGAGTCCCGCGTTTCCATCAGGAAGCCTAGCTAAGAGTAAACTAATGCCAGGATCCACTACCGTCCTGGTATCAAAGTCGCACCATGGTAAATCTCCCTGCGATCCTCAAGTGCTGCGACTGCCTGTGGTGGTGAAGGCCTGCGGCAGGTTTTAGCCAGGCTGACCTCGGGATTCCAAGGAGCCAAAATAGCTTGCCCAGCAATTCTCCGGAAAGTGGAGCTTATGCTGAGGCACGCACAACCAGTGAGGCGGGTCATTCAAGTATCAAGTATCGGATAAATATAATCCGAAGGTTTTCTTGTCTACGTATGGGTTCCACTACTATTTAGAGGAATTTTTGTTCTTTATAGAAGTCATAGAATTTGCAGAAAATGGATATATTTTGCTTGAATCTTGGCATAGGTGGGTGGGTAAAACGTGCTCACATTTATAGCACAGAAATTCGCCAGCAGTTGTGTATTGAAGAGAGCTTCATAGGCAGGTCTCGCGCTAATTTTCCGGCACCAAGGGAAGGAGGGGGGGGGGGCTTATTTGGGTCTCGCAAAATCGAACAAAAGCGTTGTGCGTATTAAACAGTATCTATACAACTACGCTATCCGTGTCTCGTATTTTATAAAATCTTTTACCAGTAATGGCTGGCTAACAACTCTTAATAAGTGATGAGATTTGTGGTGCCGTATGTTCTGTAATGGGGTGCGTAAAAGACCAGCTCAATTACATGGCAATGCTGGAGTCTCTCTTCCACTGAAGCGTGAGCACTTATACTCACATTATGAGCTTTCCTTTAGCATGTTCCACTGTTTTCAGTGAAATTATCCTGGGAAATACATGCGTCTCCTTTTTGCTTCCAGTTATTGTTCAGTTTTATCTATTTATATCGGAGTCATCAGTGTCAGTCATCGTTTAATGACGTAAATACTTCGTGGTCTGTTGTTCCGTTCACTTTGAATTTCCGGTCATTTCAACAAGTTGCGGTGTGAGTGGTTTCTGAAATTTCGCCACTGCTGATAAGGGGCAACTGTATTAGATAGCAGGAATGTAGTCAGGTATCTCATGCCATTCGCTCTATGCGTTACACTTAGTTTCTATGTTTTATTGAATTTAGTCAGTTCCTCTTCCCATGCCATTCTTCGAACTTTGGTACCGCTTATATAACGCCCTTATATAACTCAATCACCTCCTTTAAGATGTGACAAGAAATGAGATACAAGTAATTACTTATTACTATTTACTAATTATAATTAATTACTTAATTACTTATTATATGTAAAATAATAGAGATAGAATAGAAGAAATATTAGGTAGAGGACTGTTTTAAGCTCATTACAGAGTGATGATGCGTCAAATGCTGATCGGCTTTATGATCTTATTGCGGCGGTTGTGCATTGTGGAGCGACACCAAATCGTGGGCACTATATAACTATTGTTAAAAGCAATTCCTTTTGGCTACTATTTGACGACGATATCGTTGATGTGGGTATTTTGATCTCCATTTTCTTAAAAAGCATTGTTCAGTAGTCTTTTTCAGAAGATGGATATATCCTCGATGGAGGATTTTTTTGGTTTGTCTGATGGGGGTGTACAGAAGAATTCTGAGTCAGCCTACATTCTCTTCTATCAAGCTCGAGATTGTCCGGATTTGCTGAGAACTAGTGGTTCAATTTCTAATCACGCTTCTGTTTAATGGCATACTTGCCACAAATATTAGATATCTGCTGAGTTATCTAAAAAGGATCACCTTGTCAGTATATCTTTTTTTCCGTAGTTAAGTGTCACTTCTGTCATTTGTCATATTTGGTAAGGTAGGAACGAACAGTATCGGAAATTTGAGAAAAGTTGAAGATATTCGAACCAGGTTACGTTTAACAACGTCGTAACTGTGAAAGATATGTCTACCGAGAATCCGAAGCAAGTTTTGATTATCTCGTTTTTATGTGAATATTTTGTAATTTTCGCAAATTAAGAGGTCTTGCTGAAAGTCTGGGACGGAATCCGTTCTTTATTGATTCCAGCTATTTAGATCCGTAAATTTGGATACACTGAGTTGCATCTGTTTGGAAATTTGTAATCTATCCCTTCATACCTAACTTAGAAGCACCATGTGTGTGGTGTTCAAAACGCTAGTGGACAGTCGTTATTTACATTTGTAAAGATACTACTATTATATCTTTGCCGGTGATTTAGCCAGAAAAGGTGCCCTCCACTGTGTTAACTCCAGAAATCTTCTCTGATAATTGGTGATGTGAAGAGAGTAATTTGTCCATAGATATCCATGTGTTGTAGGAATTCCTAGCGCGCAGTACTATGCTTTCGTATGTTGGAGTAGACGTAATTTATTAATCTGCATTGATGTTAGGAGATATTGACAGATCGGGTTAGAGATGATAGGCTGTTTGACCTTTAAATTGGTTAAATTGTAAATGTTGTACATAAGATATTGCACGGTTAAATTAGAAACAATAAAGTTATTTTATCCGTATGTTTTATTTTTCTACAAGAAGAGGAACTTAGTATCAATAAAACTACTTGGGAATCCAGCCGACCTGGATTCCTCAGTATACGAGTCACATTTGGGCGAAATATGGCGAATAGTAATTTAGTCTTGCAAATTCAAACAACCACGAAGGGCAAAGCGTTCGGCGTTGACCAATTCATGAGATATGGGCATTGCTTTCGGGTTCTTCAAGTATAGAAGAGGTGAATATCTAGTTTGTGCAATGAATTGAAGTCGCCCGTCGATTTACCAAGTCAGTGTTCCTATTCTCCGAAACAATCCTGGTATCAATTTACCAACCATGAAGGGACTGGGATCTGGTGGGCCCAGGTCAAGGGATCGATCTAGCGACCCATTCAATGTGTGTTGCACGACACCGATAACCAATGCGCTATACAAGCCTCTGAACAAACACATTCCAGTTTGTGTTGGATCTTGCTAAATGGTGGAGAAACTACGAATATACAGGTTTTTAACAACTAAACATCACCTGTTGTCCAGTTGGTCATCAAAGTGACTCCACGGGCGCCAGAAAATTTATTTCTCTCTGTCGCGGGCAAGAGTAGTCCAGCGGGTTCTGATCGCTCTAGAGACTTGTTGAGCGCCACACTTTTTTTTCTAACGTTTTCGTAAAGAGCACTAAACACCGGGTTGGTGGTCTTTCTGTTGTGCATTAGACATCAAGAGGAATCCAATCGGTATCGGCTGTTGCCCATCCCGGTTATCGTCCGCATACTTCATCCGGTCCACCTCATCATAGACAATTTGACATGTAGAACGGCGCCTTTCAATTTTCACCGTTGAGGCAGGTCCAGGCTTCGGATCCCCTCCCACTTACTAGATGTGGAATACTCCTAGTATCGTCTTTTAGACTGCACGTTCTATAACGCTGTGGTTTTCCATCCTGCTTACACTGGGACCAGGTTTCTGACGCAAATATTAAGGCAGCGAAAATCGCGGAGTCGAAAAGTTAGCCACGGAGTCGGATGTTCTTTGTTCTCATCAGTACATCCTCAATGTTCTTGAGAGCTACCCATGCCGCTCGCTTCCACCTTCTCAACTCTGATCCTAAGTCGTTTATAATGTTGACTTCCCGACCTATATAGACCTAGCTGAAGCATCCAGGGGTATTCATCTCATTGGGCATGAATGAAACATGCGAAACAAATCTGTTTCTCATGGTCATTGCTTTTGTGAGATTTAGTAGAAGACCAGTCTTTCCAGAATCGTTATCAAAATCGGCTAGTACTCGTTTACCTGGCTACTTCTTGTTGTTATAAGAACGATGTCATCAGTAATGCGAAGATGGTTTAATTGCCGACTGTCGATTTTCACTCCCATAGTATTCCATTCCAATGTTCGCATGGTATTTTGGAGTGTGGAAGTAAACAATTTTAGAGGTGGTATCACCTTGCCTAACCCCTTTTTCTCATGTTAGTATCATAATGGAATGGTGATATTTTCACCAAGAATCTTTATATATAGAGTAGGGCCTCCTTGGCTATCCAGGGCTTCAATGACTGTATCTATCTCAGCTAAGTCAAAAGCCTTCTTTAAATCGATAGACAGAGCAGTGTTTTGTACTCTCGCGATACTTCAATGAGTCTTTTTATCGTACTGATGTGGTCCATCGTGCTGAATCCTTTTCTAAACCATGCTTGCTCACATAGCTGTTCTTCGTCCGGTGTTCTGTCAACAGAGGATTACTCGGGTGAGAAGTTTGTAGACGGCAGACAGCAAGCAGATTAGGCGACGGTTACCGATATCGTGGATGTTATCCTTCTTCAAGGATAACTTTTGCTGATCTTCTATTCGTTCAAATCTTATTATGTTCGGACCAGTATTTCGGAAGGGAGACCAGATAGTACGACATATCCATCCTTCTTTATCTCATATGAGGCCACGAAGATGTGGCTATTGAAGAGACTCGAACAGTAGTCGTGAATGGTTTTTTCAATTGTCTTTCTGGAATTTGTAAGTGGTCTGCATGGACGACAGAGTGCATCCATCGTTGTCTTAGAATTATTGGAATCTCCAACGGTTTTGCGAATGCTTTTCTTAGCCTTTACAGCTTCGAGCACAACGGCTCTTCTCTCTTTAAGACCTTCATTTCTCCCCCATCTGTATTGTTCTGCAGGTTCAAATGTGATTTAACGGTTGCCTGTAGCTCGTGCGAATCCGTGTTGGGGTATCATCTCGGGTGCTTCCGGAGACAAAACTTCCGAACTCTCACCTTTCATAGCGCTAACGTGAAGAGGATGCGTGTAGCGCAGTGTTTGGAGGTGCCACCGCGACGCACACGTGGAATCGATCCCCACGCCCGTGGCCCACCAAACCCTCCATCCCTCCGGGGTCGGTAAATTGGTAGCAGGTTTGTCTGGGAGGATAGCAGTACTGGCTCGATACATCGGTAGGCCACTGCTAGTCATTGTAAAGGCCAGATATGCATTCAATCACCTCCAACGATACTTAATGAAGCCGAATGCATGGCGCATCCCTCAGGGATTGATCGACGCTTGCAGCTTTATCCAGCTTTAGCTTCAACGTGAAGATGTTGACGAGCTGATCGCATTCCTCATCAGTATTATAATTAAGGGCATCTTCCGAAGAGTTGCATGAGCTGAAATTCTTTATTTTAGCCTAGCGGCTTTCTCTCCTTTCCGCGAGAACTGATCATGTGCGAAGGTGACGATGGCCTGATCCCTGTGTAGAATTTTGGAGCAATAGCAACATTGATCATGTAATACCTTCTATTTCGTATGATGCGGTATATTGCGTCGTGTTACTCTCCTCCCACGTCCAGCATTGAGGGTGGGGCTTCTGGAATTGCAAGTTGCTATGAATGGTCTTGGTAGTAATGGTAATCTCAGACAGCCGATCACCCTGCTCTTTCACTTCTAATTCATGGGCCCCAATGTGACGTTCTTCAAACATTACAGTAGGTCCAATCTTGGCGTTGAAATCTCTAATGCTGACCTTGGAGAATGTGTGGTCTTTTCTGTAGAATTTCTCCAAGTCCGTATTGAATGCTTCGGCTTCGCCTTCGTCACAGCTTGATATCGGGGTGTAGACAGTGAGGATCATCAAAGCCGGTATTGATCTACATCGCTTCAATAATAGGTAACCAATTCAGATTGTTAGTTGCTAGGATGAATCGATGTTCACAGCCAAACTCTTGGTAACGGGAACGCCGACTTCGTTGACTACTTTATTGTCACATGTATGAAGTAGCAGTTTTCATCCAGTATCATAGACGGCTCTGAGGAGACGGCATATCCTTGTCTCAGCCAATCCGATGAAGTCGTACGCTACCCTTCTTTTCTGTATCATCAAGTCCTGTATCGAGGTGTGAAATCCAAATGAGCATGCACAGTTAATACAATTCGTCTCCTTAGTCCTTCAAGAATGAGGCAACTTAGAATGGTCCTAAGATTTTAATAGCCTCTCCGCACTCGTCTTACTCAACGAGGTTTTATCGTCCGCTCTTTCGCGGTCTGGTGAATGAGACACGCTTATTTTACTGCGTTTAGTGTTTGATACGCACGTTTATATTGCTGAACTCTGAACGTGGTGGCTGGGAATACTCAAGGGTTGCTTGCCAGCCACTCCCAGAGTAGACAAGGACCGTATTTGTTGGAAACGTCTTGTAGAATACAATCCGCAAATAAGAGGAGAGACCCACGCACGCATATATTAATACGTCCTCGTTATACGTAGGTCCCAAATTGGCGCAGCAGAAGTAGGGAGTTCATCCGCATGATCTAGCTCTGTTACGGCGAAGCATAAGGTTCCCTGTATG